CTTGTGGTTTTGTTACAGGATTAGAGTTCATTCCTTTAACTTTGCCCCTTCTACATGTACAGTGAGTACCGTCCTGAGCATGACACATCTGACATCCCTCATCGCTGATAAATCTCGTTTGCACCCTCTCCAAGGCCCTGATATCCTTCCTGAAGTGTGGTGCCCAGAATTGGACCGAATACGCTATCTGAGGCCCAACCAGTGATTTGCAAAGACTCAACATGATTTCCAATTTAAGACTGAATTGAAAAATCTCTCACATTTTTGTCGTGATTTAAATTCTAAGTGAAATCAATCTTACAGGCTAAGATCAGGTGGAATTTCAGGGCGTGTGTCCTTACCGAATCCAGCACTGATCTTCCTTCTCCAAAGCCAGTGAATAAGAATTTTTAATCTTTAACCTTGCAAGTCAAAGCCCTAATGGTTTGGGTGGTCCTGGCTGGACAAGCAGCGGGAAATCTTGCCAGACAGTGATATCAATGGCAAGTTATAGCTGGTTAGACTCCAGCAGTTACCCCAACACACTCTAGGCTCCCCAAGCCTTGACTCTTGCCAACCTGCGCCTAATACTCTCCGGAATTAGGGCAGCAGGAGGGAGAGAGAGCGCATTCCGTTCCAACAATCTATCTCTGGGATATCCATGCGTAGGTGGGATCCATGCAATTCTCAATCTGGTTTGGAAACACGTAAGCAAGGTTTGGGTTTAATAATGTGTCAGACCCAGCTGAACAAAATATAACAGTCATAAGGGAAGTTTAGAAATTATGGAACAAAAACAGTTTCACTCTAACGTGTTCCTCTTAAAACAGAATAAGTTGAACTGTTTGGTCCACCACTGCCCATTCATTTATAGCCTGAGGAAATTTTCCTATGTATCTAGTTCCAGTTTTAGCTCCACTGGTTCCCTATCACCAAACGGATTAATTTTAAGGTCCTCTCACTCATCCACAAATCCCCTGGCACCTCACTACCTCACCTACCTTCTTACTCCACACTGAATTACCTACTACCTCTGCTCAACTAGCCCCAACCTCCTGTTTACCCCTCGTCCCCTCCGTTGCGCCATCAGTGGTTGCACTTTCAGCTGCTATGCCCCGAAACTCTGAAAACACTGGTCCTCTATTTTTCTGCCTTCCTCTCGCCTTCCCCTCTTGGAGGGGACCAAAGAGGAACTGCTGGTTAGACTCAAGCAGTTGCTACGCCCCGAAACTCTGAAAACACTGGTCCTCTATTTTTCTGCCTTCCTCTCGCCTTCCCCTCTTGGAGGGGACCAAAGAGGAACTGCTGGTTAGACTCAAGCAGTTGTACCAACGCACCACTCTGAGGTTCCCAAGCCTTGGCTCTTGCCAACCTGTGCCTAATACTTTCCAGAATTAGGTAAGCAAGATTTGTCCCTCCAGGGAGAGAGAGTGCATTCCATTCCAACAGTCTATCTCTGGGATTTCCATGTTTGGTGGGATGCATGGAATTCTCCGCTTGGCTTGGATACTCTTAAACACGGTGATGGGTTCGTGCATGTGTCAGATACCCGGTTAACCCCCACCTCCCCCTCAAAAATAAGCTGGAATTTTTTTTTTGGTCAGCGGGATGTCTGACATTTGAAACAAAGTGAAGTCCTGTAGCTCAGTGGTTAGAGCGCTCGCTTTGCAAAGAGAGGACCCGGGTTCGATTCCCGACCAGGGTAAATCCTTAGGGAAGTTTCCTTACTCCGCACGTCTCTGGTTACCTAGGTTTCCAAAGCAAGTAATAATTCGGTCACTCAATCCACGACTGTTTGTGGGACAACGCTGTGTGCAAAGGCTGCCGCAAAAAATACAGCCAATTCACTTTCCGGTATATTCTGTGAAGCACTTTGAGATATCTTAATGATATAATAAGGCGCTATAACAAATGTCAGAATTATTATTATAATTTCCTCCTCCTGCTCATTCAACTGGAAGAATTTTGTTTGGGTTGTCTGACTCATGGGGAAACCAGACACACAGGCTGATCAAAAACGAAACAAAAAAACATTTGAAACAAATTTGATGCTTTTTTTATAGCATCGAAACCTCGCTAAGAATTCTTTCCATATCACACATATGGAAATCCCAAAGATAATGATAATAATAAACATTGCACTTTGATATTGCCTTATCACTCTCATAAAGCGCTTCACGGAATATATTGAATTGTGCATTGATTATATTTTCTGGGCAAAATGCAACAGACAATTGCGCACAGCAATGTCCCACACACAGTTGTGGATTCAGTGATCAATTTATTATGATGAGGGACTATTATCCCAGTAAGCGATCGACCAATCGATTAATAACCGGGTTCCTACTTACTGCTCGGTAAACAGAGGCACGTGGAGAAGGGAAATTTGCCTAAAGTTTCACCCAGTCTGGGAATATCCAACAATACAACACATCCCAAAGCACTGCATTGGAGTGTCATCTTCGACCATGTGATTCCACTTCTCGACCTGGGGTCTTGAACCCACAACCTCCTGACTCAATAGACAAGAACACAAGCACTGAGCCAGGCCGACGGGTCGACTCGTGTTAAGTCTCGAGCTCTGGAATCCCTGACCAGCATAAAGCAGTTATGACAAGCTCAGCACATGTTTGGTCTGTCAGCAAAAGGCAGACACTAACGGTGGCTCCTGGTGACCTTTATGACCAGTGAGACAATCTGAGTTGAGCACTGGGGAGATAGAAGGGCTCAATATTTGCGTGGAGCCCAGGTTAGGCACAGAGTAAAGCTCCCTCTGCATTGTCCGTACAGCATTCCGGGGTCACGTAGATTCACGTGGAATTTATAACATGGAAACAGCCACTGTGCGTGCGCGTGGGTGGGTGTGTGTGGGTGTGGTGAGGGCAGATTGCTTTGCATAGGTAAGAATCCCTTTAGAAAAATGTGGACACTCAACCTACGGCTATTTGTGGGGCACAGTAATGCTCAATTGGCTGCCATGTTTAGCCACAAAATATACAGTCAGTTCACTTTACACTATTTGCTGTGAAGCGCTGTGAGATGTCTCGAAGATGTGATAAAGCGCTATATCAAATGCAAGGATTATTATTATTATTATTTTTCGGCTTGACTGGTCCGTGCTGGTGTTTATACTCCAAGTGCATCCCCACACATTCCTTATTAAGAGGGCCAAACCTTGGGCAAGTTTCCTTACTCCACACAGAGCCTAATAATAATCCCTCCAAAACCAAAAACAATAATAAATTGGTCATTTTCAATCCACGACTGTTTGTGGGACATTGCTGTGCGCAATTGGCTGCCGCGTTCGCCCACAAATATACAGTCAATTCACTTTACAGTGTGTTCTGTGAAGCGCTTTGGGACGTCCTCCTGACGTGAAAAGCGCTATATCAAATGCCAGGATTATTATTATTATTATTCTTCTCTCCCACCCTCTCTTCCAGTTGATAAGTTTGCCTACAAAATGCACACGAAAGGTACTTTACTAAATGTAAGTAGTGTGATTATAATCCAGATACAATTACTTGCATTCATTCCAAATTCGAACAACTCGCTGAGTGNAAAAAGAGGGAGATATTCAGTCATGGTCTAAAAGAGGGGAAGGCAGAAGAATAGAGGAACAGTTTTTTTAAGAGTTTTGGGGGGTAATGGCTGAAAGTGTGATTCAGTGCGGAGTAAGAAGGTAGGCAAGGCAGGGAGGTGCCAGGCTGTGAAGGGATTTGTAGAGAGTCAGTTGAAATTCATCCATTTGATGATAGGGAGCCAGTGGAGCTAAAACTGTAGAGGATAGTTTCCTCAGGCTATAAATTAATGGGCAGTGGTGGACCAATGGGCAGTGGTGGACAATTCTGTTTGAATAGAATAAGCAGAACTAGTCAGTGGCAAACTATTTTGTTCCATAACTTCTAAACTTGCTTTATGCCTGTTTTTTTGGTCAGCCGGGTACCTGACACGTTATGAAACCAATCACCGTGCTTAACAGTTTCCAAACCAAACTTTCCAAGCTCGTGTCCTCTCCCGCACCAGGCTCCGCAACCCTATCACCTCCATCCTCACCCGACTCCACTGGCTTCCCATTAGACAGATCTCAGTTCAAGATCCTGGTCCTCGCCTTTAAAGGCCTCCATGGCCTCACTCCCCCCTACCTCTGCGACCTCCTAACCCCCTATCATCCTGTCCGCTCCCTTCGTTCAGCGACCTGCTTCGTGTCTCCCGCCTCACCTGCCCCACCATTGGTGGGAGGGCCTTCTGCCACTCTGCCCCCACCCTCTGGAACTCCATCCCATAGTCCCTCCACCTCGCCTCCTCCCTTGTCTCCTTCAAGATCCATCTCAAGACCCTCCTCTGCTACCGTACTTTTGGTCACCCTCCTTTCCCCCCCCCCCCACCCGTGGCCTCCATCATCCCCGATCCCGACTCCAGCTCAGGTCCAAAACACAACACTGACTGACTTGAGTTGTCCTCCCAACGCGAAGGACACTAAACACATGTAATTTTATTGTTGTTGTTGGTAAAATTACATAGCTTGCCATTGACATCACTGTCTGGAAAGCCTTCCCGCTGCTCTTGCAGCTAGGACCACCCTCACCCTTAGGGCTTTAATAATAATAATAATCCTTGCATTTGATGTAGCGCTTTTCACGTCTTCTACAACAACAACAACAACAACAACTCGGATTTATATAGCGCCCTCCACGCCGGACGGCGTCTCAGAGCGCTTTACAGTGACGGATCCCGGGGCCGAGCCGGGGGGAGGGGGGGGGGGGGGATAGGTGACCAAAGGCGCGGCCAAAAAGATAGGTCTTCAGCAGAGACCTGAAAACGAGGGTGCAGCGGAGGACTCGGGGGAACCAGGAGGTGACAAAGGCATGGACCAGGGTTTCGGCGGCTTTTTGGGGAGAGGTATTCGAAACGTCTCAAAGCACTTCACAGAACAGACTGTAAAGTGAATTGACTGTATATTTCTGGGCAAAGCACGGCAGCCAATTGTCGTGCATTTGCAGGGTGTGGAAGAGCTGAGGAGGAGAATTCCCTGCCCACAGTGACTTGTCAAGCAGGAAATCAGAAGTGCAATAAGGAAACAGAACTGGAACTGAACTGCAGCGAACAACATCAGCACTCAGCGAGGGAGCTTGCTTGAGTTTTCCCAGCGAAAATGAGCAGTCAACTCAAAATGCATTTCGATGGGAACTGGTAAGGGCAATAGCCTACAGATTCTCTTCTCCAAATTACCATTTTAACTGACATAACTCGCTGACGAGTGTCGCACTTTATCTGCTCTGCTGCAGGCTCATGGAGAAGGTGGGATACATCAGCGTCTCCAGGTTTCAGGATCGATATATTGCTGAAGTCATCAGGAAGGAAGGCAGAGCCAGTGACTGGTAAACTCAGACCTCAACCGGTTCCTATTGATCCTGGTCTGCGTTTGTTGCTCCCCGTGTCCACCCACCCCTCTCTCACTGTGTCTCTCACGGTCTCTCTCACCCCCTCTGTCACCGTGTCTCTCACGGTCTCTCTCACCCCCCCCACCCTCTGTCGCTGTGGCTCTCGCTGTGTCTCTCACCTCCTCTCTCAATCCCACACAATCTCTCTCTCTGTCTCTCACCCCCCCCTCTTAGTGTCTCTCTCACCCCCTCTGTCACTGTGTCTCTCACTGACTCTCTCATCCTCTCTCTCACTGTGTGTCTCTCTCTCTGTCTCTCACCCCCCCCCCCTCTTAGTGCCTCTCTCACCCCCTCTGTCACTGTGTCTCACACTGACTCTCTCATCCTCACTCTCACTGTGTCTCGCTCTCTCTCTCACCCCCTCTTTTATTGTCTTTCGCACAATATTTCTCACTGTGTCTCTCACTTACCTCTCTCACTCCCACACAATCTCTCTCTCTGTCTCTCTCATTCACACGCAATCTCTCATAGTGTCTCGGACCCCCTCTCTCACTACATCTCTCACTGTGTCTCTCACTGTCTCTTTCACCCACTGTCTCGTTCCCACACAATCTCTCACTGTGTCTCTCACCCCCTCTCTCTCTGTCACTCCTACAGTCTCTCTCTGTGTCTCTCTCACTACTCACACAGACTCCCTCACTGACTCTCTCACAATCTCTCCCACTGTCACTCATAGTCGCTCTCTTTTTTTACATTCTCGCACTCCCACACAACCTCTTCGCTGTATCTCTCACAGTCAGTCTGTCGGTCTCCCTCAGTCTGTCTGTCTGTCTGTCTCTCACACATTCTCTCTCTCCCTGTATCCCTCACTGTCTTCTATCTCTCTCGGTCTCTCACTCTCTTTCACTCACATCCACACTCCCCCTCTCTTTCTTCCATTTCCCTGGTCTGTCTCCCGCTGAGGTGTAAACGAGCTGCGGACAAGTTACCATGTAAACATTCCCCTGGAGTAGTTTGTTTCTGTCATTTCCTTGTGTTGTGAGTAACAACAACAACAACAAGATTCCATTTATAAAGCGCCTTTCACGTCAGGAGGACGTCCCAAGGCCGTGAATAGCATCAGAGTGAATAACCTGATAAATTGAGCCTCCGCCCCTCCCCTTAACGCAACCCTATATTTAACACAGAAATTCAAGCTCAGCCATTGTTGGTGTAGGAATATTTCGAAGCCCTGATCACAGTTTCAGGAATTTGCATTATTTTGTTTTGTTCAGCCGGGCGTCTGACACATCCGAAAACCTGTCACCGTGCCTAACACCGCGTGCAAACCAAACAGAGAATTCCGTGCACCCCCCCCCCCCCACACACACACACACACACACACGGAAATCCCAGAGGTAGATTGTTGGAGGAGAGAGGCACCCTGTTTACCTAATTCCGGGGAGTATTAGGCACAGGTTGGTAAGATTCAAGGCTTGGGGACCCCAGAGAGTGTGCTGATAGTGCAGTCTAACCAGCCAAGACGGCATCGATACCCACTGCCTCCCATCGCTCGGCTCTGGCTCCCTTTTCAGCCGCAATGCCCGGAAAGCTTTGGAAATCTCTCTCACTCAATCCCTCCACCTTTCCCCTTCCTTCCCCTCGGTTGTTTTTGTGTTCAAGCCCCACGTCGGGGACTTTGAGCTCACAGGGCTAGGCATTGTCAGAGGTGCCGTCTTTCCGAATGAAATGCTAAGCCCCTTCCCACCGAAAATGGGGAACAATCCACAAAGTGTGTTGGCCAATTTTTGCCCACCAATTTTCTCGAGCAAAACCTTTTCTGTCACAGCAAAACGAAGAAGACGACGAAAACCGAAGTTAATGACTTGCGAGTGGAGAAAGAGGCAAAAGGTGTGCTGTGTGAGTCGTAATCAGCTGCTCATCGGCCTCACAATGGGAAGAAGAAATAAAGGATAAGAAAATTCAATTGGACACAAACAGTCGTGGATTCAAGTGACCAATTTATTATTGTTTTTTTTGTTGAGGGATTGTAATTAGGGGTTTGGAGTCAATAATAATTTAGTCAATAATAACTCCATACTTTTGGGTGATGGAACCGGGAACTGCACAACAATGTATAATCTTTTGATGCACATATATTTGGAGAAAATGGACATTAAATTGCATATTGCTCCTCTATTGCTTCCGCAGCATTTGATCAGCTTAAATTAACTGTACATATCCAATACTGTGATTTTTTTACTTATTTGTAAATAGTCTGAATAAACCTTGATGTCTGTGTATGTACTGGGTCATGGATTTATTCAACCCTTACACTACTTACTGCTAGGTAAACAGAGGTGTGTGGAGTAAGGAACCTTGCATAAGATTTCACCCTGCCCGGGAATCGAACGCATATCCTCTCGCTTGCCAGGCGAGCGCGCTAATCACCATACTACTGGTCTCCCAAGTGGGCCAATAACTGGGAAATATTTTTTTTGAATACATATTTTTTTGAAGCGATTACTACCCACGGAAGGCAATCCGCCAATCGTCCAACAACCAACCGGGTTCCTACTTACTGCTGGGTAAACAGAGGTCTTTGTGTGAGCGCGGCGTAAGGAAAGTTGTCTAAGGTTTCGCCCTGACTGACCTGCCTGGGAATCGAACCCAGGTCTTGCAAGGCGTGTGCTCTAACCACTGAGCTACAGGACTCCACTGGTGTTACAAGGTGCTGCAGTTAGCTTGGGGGTGAATAGGAATCAGGGAGCCTGGTGCAGAGAGTGGGACAGGGGTGACTATCCGCAGCATGTACGCAGTGAGCTGCACTGAAGAGACAGGTGCTGACACTCCGTGGACCCCCACTGCGGGCAGCAGCTCTCAGCAGAGGGTTGGCAGAGGTCTGGAGGAGAGCACTTTGCTGTCCAGGCCACTAACACGCGGTGCTGGGCTTAGGACAGCGGTTGCAAGAGGACTTTTGGCTTCTCATTCAATGATATATTAATCATCTCTCAGGTAGACCACGATAAGCTATGTTATCTTGGACTGAACAGTTAGAACCAGATGACACGGCCTGCGATTGAAGAGGATAATCTGCGGAAATGCTATTTCAGTGTGTGAATAGTAACTTACGGATCAGGCTCCCTGGGGACATGGTGGAAGCAAAAAGTGTCGATTCTCTCAAAACCAAATGGGATGGATTTCTGTTAGGAAATAATATCTCGGGATACAGTATATAGTTTGACATACGACACGTCAAGCGACTGTGCCAGGATGGTGGAAGTCGAACTGGATGGACCTTGGTCTTCTTTCATCCAGCAAATACTCTTATGTTCTTAAGAGGGTTTTGTAAGAATATATGCGCGTGTGTGTGTGTGTGTGTGTGGAAGGTCATTTATATTAAATTACAGTCATGAGGAAGTAGACGTTCCTTTTATTTAAAACAAAACATACCTTTATTCGTAGACAGGAAAGATCATTACACTCGTCTTGAACAAACAAGTTCCCGGATAGAAAGCAAAAAGGGACTCAATACAGACCAAGTTTATGCAACCTTCCTGATAAATTAACCCTTTAAACCTACCCAACCTCTGGAGCTTTGTCTCGCGCCCCCCCCACCGCGCCACCTTCAAGATCAACCTCAAGACCCTCCTCTTCGACCCTGTTTTCGACCTCCCTGCTTCTCCCCCCACCCTCCAGTCTTCTCCACCCTGACCCCCAGCTCGGGTCCGTGACTCTGTCTTTCCAGCGCCTTGAGACGTCCTCCCGACTTGAAAGGCCCTTTATAATACATGTAATTTTGTTGTTCTTGTTGTCCTTCTGGTGAATCTGCTATAGTAAATAGTGAATCCGTGCTATGACCTGCTCTGCCTTCCCCACTTCTGCAACATCCCCCGGCACCGCCATGGCCTCTCCCCTAAGGCCACAGAGACCCTCATCCACACAGTCATTTATTAGATTTATTACATCCACATACGTCAACTCCCTGCTTGTCGTCCCTCCACACTCTGCAGCTCATATCCTCTCCTGCGTCAGGCTCTGTGACCCAATCACCCCCCACCCTCGTCTGACTCCAATAGTTTCCTTCCCCCCAAAGGAGAGAATTCAAAATCTTCGTCCTCACCTATAAAGCCCTCCACGGCCTTGTTCCTCTCTACCCTGTGACCTGCTAACTCCATACCAATCCCTCCACTCGGCGGGCTTCGGCCTGCTCTTCATCCCCCGCTGGCCTGCCCCATCATCGGCCGTCGGGCTTTCAGCCTCTCTGCCCCCAACCTTTGGAATCCCATCCCACAGTCCATTCACTCGCGCCCTCCTGTCCCCCCCTTCAAGCACATCTCGAGACCTGCCGCACCCTTCGACTGTCTGCAGTCACCCTCCTTCCACTACCCTCCCAATGTGAAGGGCACTGTGCAAATGTAATTTGTTGTTGCTGTTGTGGAATACTCCCTGCTCAACCCTTCAATTCCCTTCTCCCTCGTGTTTACATCGAACACGTCTCCCTCTCCGTTGTGAATTACAGAATAATTTAGTCCACAAGAGTTGAAAGTCTTTCAGCTGAGATGTTAAACATCTGTGCCTGTTCAGGTGGACATTAAAAATCCCGTTGCACTGTTTGAAAAGAAAAGAAAAGAAAATGCAATTTCTCACAGCGAAGTATAATAATACTCTTTGCATTTGATATATCAGGTCTTCGAGATGCCGGGTAAACAGAGGTGTGCGGAGTAAGGAAACTTGCCTAAGGTTTCTCCCCGTCCAGAAATCAAACCCAGGCCCCCCTCGCTTGCGAGGCGAGCACTCCAACTACTACACTCCATGACTCCTCAAACATGATACTGAACAACTGGTCAACATTTACTTCATGATTTTACATTCACATTTATGCCATATTATTTTTATATCTATATATAAGACTGTTTGTGGGACATTGCTGTGCGCAATTAGCTGCCGCGTTCGCCCACAAATATACAGTCAATTCACTTTACAGTGTGTTCTGTGAAGCGCTTTGGGACGTCCTCCCGACGTGAAAAGCGCTATATCAAATGCAAGGATTATTATTATTATTATTATTCAACCATTTGCATTACATGTAAATTCGGGGGATTTTGCTGTGCTGCCGTATTTGCCAACCAATGCATTCACTGCACTGTATCTTAATGGTTAGAGCATTTGGGGCAAAACAAACAGGAAATTTCTTTGCTCCGCATGCCTCTGTTTACCTAGCAGTAAGTAGGCAAGAGATTATTACCCTGGAAAGCGATCCATCAATCAAATTACAGCCAAGGTTCCTAACTACTGCGAGGTAAACAGAGGCGTCCGGAGTAAGCAAACTTCCCAAAGGTTTCTCCCCACCTTCTAAGCAAATAACATGACAAGGGTTATTACCTGTGACTCAATAGGATCTTTATGCTTGAAGACAAACCACTTCCTCTCCATTCTGGTCTTCAGCATCATTGTTTCTGTTTTGCCTTTTATTATCTGTAATGACATTAACATGAGACCCATTAACAGATGGGCCAATTGATACAGGGAACTATTGACATAGGGAACTATTGATATGGCGATCCACTGACATGAGACACCATTGACCCAGTGTTCCACTGTCTGTCCACAATCCCAATTCAGGGATAGAGACAAAGCAAAGCTCCCTCTACACTGTCCGTCCACACTCCCAGGTCAGGGCTAGAGACAGAGTAAAGCTTCCTCTACGCTGTCCATCCACAATCCCAGATCAGCCACGAGTTTGAATCAAAAATAACAAATTACATTTACACAGTGCCTTTCATGTTGGGAGGATGTCCCAAAGTGCTGGACTTTCAAGCATTTGGACCCAAGCTGGGAGTTGGAATCAGGAGGGGATGGAGGGCAGGGAGGGTAGGGGAAGGAGGATGAATCAAGGCTGGGCCAAGATGAAGGTCTTGATATGAGCCTCGGAGGAAGCAAGGGAGGGAGCAAGGTGAAGGGGCTGTGAGACGGAGCTCCAAAGGGTGGGGACCGAGAGGCTGAAGACCTGACCACCGATGGTGTGGTGGGAGGTGGGGGATGTGGAGGAGTTCGGAACCTGCTGAGTGGAGGGAGTGGGCAGGTCAATATGGGGCGAGCAGATCACAGAGGTAGGGAGGGGGAAGTCCATGGAGGGCCTTCAGATTTTGAAATCTATCCTCTGGGGGATGGGGAGCCAATGGAGCCGGGCTCTTACTCTCCGCGCCTCAAGCCAAGGATCCCATATGCTTTTTTAACTACTTTGTCAACCTGTCCTGCTACCTTCAAAGATTTATGTATATAAACCCCCAGATCTCCCTGTTCCTGCACCCCCTGTAAAACTGTACCTTTTATCTTACATTGCCTCTTCTCATTCTTCCTCCCAAAATACATCGTGTCACACTTCTCTGTATTAAATTCCATCTGCCATGCGGCTGCCCATTTCACCAGCTTGTCTATGTCCTCCTGCAGTCTGCTACTATCCTCCTCACTGTATACTAAGTGTTGTGACATCTGCAAACTTTATTGACGAGTAACGCAGATAATAATCATAATCCTTGCATTTGATACAGCGACTTATCACATCGACACGTCTCAAAGCACTTCACAGAATATATTATAAAGCGAATTGAATGTATATTTTATGGGCAAAATGCGGTGGCCAATTGCGCACAGCAGTGTTTCACAAACACTTGTAGATTCAGTGAAAAAATTATTCAAAAAAAATAAGTTTGAAGGAATTATTTCCCCTGGAAAAGTGATCTGCCGATTGACTGATAACCGGGTTCCTACTTATTGCTCGGTAAACAGACTATGGAAACTTGCCCAATATTTTGCTCTGCCTGGGAATCGAACACATTACATTAAACACTACGCTGCAGGACTCCAGATATCTTGTACTTACACAAGCCAAAGAAAACTATCAACGTCAGGGCAATTAGGGAAAAGATAATAGCCACTGGGGCAACAATGTTTTGTATGTCTGCCTTCAGACTGCATCCTTTATCTGCAAGCAAAGACATTAATAAATAGTCAAAACATTGCAAATAATAATCCTTGCATTTGATATAGTGCCTTATCACAGCAACAATAAATTACAATTACACGGCGCCTTCCATGTCAGCGAGGACGTCCCAAGGCTCTGGACAGTCAGGTATTTCAACCCAACCTGGGGTTTGGGACCAGGAGGGCAGGGAGATTGGTGACAGTAGGGTGACCGACGGCACAATCAAAGAGGAGTGTCTTTAGACACACTTGAAGGAGGCGAGGGAAAGGGCGAGGCAAAGGGACTATGTGCTGGAGATACAAAGGGTGGGGGCGGAAAATCGAAAGGCCCGACCGTCAATGGTGGGGCTGGCCGGGCATGGGATGTGTGGAGCAGGCCAGAGCCCATTGAGCGGAGGGAGTGGACAGGTTGATAAGGAGTTAGCAGGTCACAGAGGTGAGATAGGAGCAAGACTGTGGAGGGCCTTGAAGGTGAGGATAAGGATTTTCAACTCTATCTTTTGGGGGAGCTGGGCTCTACTGTCCAGGGTCGGAGAACTGGGTAATATGATTCTGTTTTCTTTGACTCTGTGAGTATTGATTCAAATTGATCCTGTCCATAGCCAATAAACCTGTTGCACCCATTTGGGATTGTCAGGGTATTAAAATTCTAACACCCGTGTTCTCCCCATAGCTCTGCAAACGTGTCCTCTCCAAATAGGGTGATAGGGTCACGGAGCCCGGTGTGGGAGAGGACACAACAGATCTGGATGTAGAGGGAAGAATTGGGAAGGCTGACAAGCAGGGAATTAGTGTAGTTGAGCCATATTCGTGATAAATGCCAATGAGAGTCTCGGCAGCCTGAGGGAAGAGGCAGTGGCAGAGCCGGGCGATGTTGCAGGGATGGGAGAAGGCAGAGGGGGTCATGACGTCTCAACAACAACAAAATTACATTTTTTTTACGGCGCCTTTCATGTTGGAAGGGCGTCCTCAGGCGCTGGACAATCAGTTTTTCGGACCTGAGCTGGGGGCTGGGATCAGGGAGGGTGGAGGGCAGAAAAGAAAGTCGGGTGATCAAAATCTCAGTCGAAGAGGAGGCTCTTGAGATGGGTCTTGAAGGAGTCAAAGCGCTTCACAGAATATACTGTAAAGTGGAATGACTGTGTATTCCACCTCTGCCTCATTACGCATTGGAATCCAGAAATGACACGTTGCAGTAGTGCCATTTTAGCTGTTACTTACCAGCTGTCTTAAATATCTCAATCAACAGAACCAAGGAAATCGCAATGGTTAAAAGATCACTGAAGGGGACTGCAACATCCTTTAGGACACGAAAGACTGTCAGAGAGAACAAAGGATAATCATAAACTTTGCATTTGATATTGCGCCTTATTATGTTGTTAATACGTCGCAAAGCGCTTCGCAGAATATATAGTAAGTTGATCACTCAATCCATTGAGTGACCAATTTTGTTTCGAGGGATTGTTACCCCTAGTGATTCCCCCAATCAACTAACAACTAGTTTTCTACTTACTACTTTTCTACGTACTGCCCTGGTTAACAGAGGCGTGTGGAGTAAGAAAACTCGCCGGGGAAATCAAACCGTGGTCCTCTCACTTGCGAGATCAGCATGCTAACCGCCACGTGCTTCATCTGAACTGATCTGATTTAGTGTGGAGTCCTGTAGCTCAGTGGTTATAGAGCACTCGCTTTGCAAGTGAGAGGCCTGAGTTCAATTCCAGGCAGAGGGCGAAACCTTGGGCAAGTTTCCTTACTCCACACAGAGCCTAATAATAATCCCTCCAAAACCAAAAACAATAATAAATTGGTCATTTTCAATCTACGACTGTTTGTGGGACAATGCTGTGCGCAATTGGCTGCCGCGTTCGCCCACAAATATACAGTCAATTTACTTTACAGTGTGTTCTGTGAAGCGCTTTGGGATGTCCTCCCGACGTGAAAAGCGCTATATCAAATGCAAGTATTATTATTATTATTATTATTATCTACTGACCATTCAGTGCAGTGGTTAGCACACTCGCCTCGCAAGCGAGGGGACCCGGGTTTGATTCCCAGCAGGCCGAAACCATAGGCAAGTTTCCTTAATCCACACGCCTCCGCTTACCTAGCAGTAAGTAGGAATGTCTCAAAACTCTTCATGGAATATAAACCGTAAAGTAAACTGACTGTATATTTTGTGGGCGAAAGGCAGCAGCTCACAGCAGCGCGTGGAATGAGTGACCAAAATTTTACATTTGCTTCCTTCCCTATAATGCCTTGCCCCCTCTTTCTCCTGTTTTGTAATCACACCTGAAGAAGTTCTCCTTCGACCTTCCCTACGGTCACCTCATTCCCCTTCTCCCCAGATCAACATCGTGCTCCACCATTGTTAAGTGCCCTGAAATGCTCCTGTGTGAAAGGCCTGTATAAATGCAAATTGTTGTTGCTGTTTGGATACTCCTAAGCACGGCGATGGGTGTCCGCGCGGGTCAGACATCCGGCTGACCAAAAAAACAATCTTTTTTTAGACAATGCCCAGACTTACTGTTATTCTTGCGAATATTGGTGAAATGTTTCATGCAACACTTCGTTATCTCCAAAGTGGATATTGTCACAATAATTATTACGACAATTATAATCACCAGAGGAACCAATATTATTGCAGAAGGACCTGCGGAGCAGAACAGAAAGCACTGTCAATGTTCATAGTTCTTTATTTCAAGATCCTCTCACTCGTCATCAAATCCCTTCCTATCCTGGCAGCTCCCTACCCTTCCGACCTGCTTACTTCCCAACCTAGTGGAGTCCTGTAGCTCAGTGGTTAGAGCACTCACTTTGCAAGTGAGAGACCTGAGTTCAATTCCAGGCAGAGGGCCAAACCTCGGGCAAGTTTCCTTACTCCACACAGAGCCTAATAATAATCCCTCCAAAACCCAAAACAATAATAAATTGGTCATTTTCAATCTACGACTGTTTGTGGGACATTGCTGTGCGCAATTGGCTGCCGCGTTCGCCACAAATATACAGTCAATTCACTTTACAGTGTGTTCTGTGAAGCGCTTTGGGACGTCCTCCCGACGTGAAAAGCGCTATATCAAATGCAAGGATTATTATTATTATTATTATTACTGCCCGCTGCCTCCGCTCGACTGGCTCTGGCCTCCTGCTTTTCCCATGTGCCCTCCGCTCCACCATCGGTGGCCGCAATTTCAGCCACCACACCCCAAAACTCTGAAACTCTTCCTCAATTCCCCCGCCTTGCCCTTTCCTTCCCCATCTTCAGATCGCAACTGAAGACCTTCCTCTTTAAGCGTGCTTACGGCCAACCCCCCACCCCCCCGCCAACTCCTCCACCACCAGTCTCAGCATGGTGCTCTGCCACTGCCAAGTGCCTGGGGATGCCACCCTGTGTGAGGGGTGCTGCGCAAATGCAAGTTGTTGTTGCTGTTTAACAAATTTTAGGACAGTCAAAAATAGGTTTTATTTTCTATTTTATGAATACATCTTTCAAAAATAAAACGGACACACTCAAATGTGGGATCCGGTAGCATAGTGGGTAGCACACTTGCCTCGCAAACAAGAGGACGCAGGTTCAATTCCTGGTCTGGGCAAAACCTCAAGCAAGTTTCCTTAACTTTACACACACAAGTGCCTCAGTTTACCTGTCGGTAACTAGGGACTCGGTTGCGTAAGTATTAAAGACTTTAATTGCACACTTGGAGAACTGGTTTCTTACTTCTTACTGGCAAATAAAGACTTAATCTCCACGGCTGTTTGTGGGCCACTGCTGTGCACAGTTGGCTACCACGTTTCACCGTCAAAGTAAACAGTCATTTAAATTTCCAGTTGATTCTGTGGAGTACTTTAAGATATCTCAACGATGTGATGAGGCTAACACAAATGCAAGGATTATTATCTCTCTTTTTTTGCATGTTTCATCGTATTCTGTAATTAGATTAGGGTTTGGGTCATTATAATGTTACTTACCACTAACTTTCAGTTGGAAAATAAATGCACAGATTAAAGCGATCAATGACGAGATGGCCAGAGTATGGTGTGTGAAGAAGATTTTGTTCTGGACTTTGATGTCTAGCAAAGCAATTAAGAATTGTTAGGTTCATTTTAATTTCCTTGAAAATTCATTGTAGAACTGTAAAACAACACTCCAACAACACGACCCAAACCCAAACCCAAACCCGAAACCCTCGTCCACGCCTTCATCACCTCCCAGCTCGACAACTCCACTGCCCTCCTCACTGGTCTCCGCACTCCTTAGTCCGACCCTATCAGCATTCCATTTTGGGTACCACACCTCAGGAAGGATATACTGGCCCTGGGGAGGGGGTTTGCAACGCACATTCACCAGAATAATACCAGGGCTTAACGGGTTAAATTGTGAGGACAGATTTTATAGACTTGGTCTGTATTCTCTTAAATTTAGAAGTTTGAGGGTTGATCTGAGTGAGGTTTTTAAAATGATAAGGAGATTTGCTCGGGTAGCGACAGAGAAACTATTTCCTCTGGTGGGTGGAGGGAATCCAGAACAAAGGGGCATCGTCTTAAAATGAGAGTGAGGCCATTTAGGAGTGATATCAGGAGACAGTTTTTCACACAAAGGGATAGTGGAAATTTGGAACTCTCTCCCCCAAAAAGGCTATGGGTTATGGCAGTGCCCATTCACATTTTCAAGACTGATGGGATAAAAGGATATCGGATCGACTTCAAGATCCTCACAGTTGTGTTCAAAAGCCTTCACTCTGGCATCTCCCTCCCTCTCCGACCTCCTCACTCCCCAATCCACCACCCATTGGCTCCACTCGATTGGCACTGACATTCCTGTTTGTCCCTTCGCCCCACCATCAGATTCTACGCCCCGAAACTCTGGAACACTCTCCCTCCACCTTGAAAACCTTCCTCTTCAAACATGCTGATGGCCAACCCCCCCTTACCCCCAACCTCCCTGCCCTACACCCCTCCTGATCTCAACCCGCAGCTCGGGTGCAGATCTCTGACTGACCAGCGCCTTGGGACATCCTTCCGATGTGAAAGGCACCGTGTAAATGTCATTTGTTGTTGTTGTGGTGGTGCTTGTTTACTTACCCAACTGTTCCTTATTTGATTGATTGCAAAGGAATGCAATTCCAGTAAAGGACATCAATGCACATAGAAATGCGATGGCTGAACCTGCAAGTATGACCTTATGGGAAATTGTCAGACCTTAAACAGAGAGTAATACACATACAGTCATTTCATTTTGCATTTACATCCTACAATATGATACGTTTGCAATCTAAAATTTTATATTTATACATTGAGTATTTTATTTTAAGTTAACACTTACATTTTCCTGATCATGTCGTCAATAAAAATCCAAGCACTTCTCAGGATATATATATATAATAATAGGCCTTGCATTTGATTTGTCATGTTCTTGAGATGTCTGAAAGGTTTGACAGGATATACTGTACAACAACAAATTACATTTGTATAGCATCAATTGGCATCGTTTACGTTGGGAGGATATCCGAAGGTGCTGAACAATCAGTTTTCAGACCCGAGCTGGGGATCAGAATTAGGGAGGGTGAAGGGCAGGGGGGAAAGAGGGTGATCGAAGGCACGGTCGAAGAGGAGGGTCTTGAGATGAGCCTTAGCAGAGGTAAGGGAGGGGGCGAGGCGGAGGGACTGTGGGATGAGGTTCTAGAGGGTGAGGATAGAGTGGCTGATGACCCACCCACCAATGGTGGACCGAGCGAGGTGGGAGGTGTGAAGCAGGCCAGAGCCCGTTCAGCGGAAGAAGCGGGCACGTTCGTAGGGCATTAGCAGGTCGCAGAGGTAGGGGGGAGCAAGACCATGGAGGGTTTTGTAGGTGAGGACCAGGATCTTTGAACTTGTGATGTGGAGTCGGGTGAGATTGGGAGTGATAGGGTCACAACACATACACATACAGACACACACTCACACACCTCACACTCATACATATGGTGGAAGCAGAAAGTGTTGATTCTTTCAAGAACAAATAAATATTATTTCTGTTAGGAAATAATATCTTGGGGATACAGTATATAGTTTGGGATACAACATGTAATGCGACTGCCAGGATGGTGGAAGGCAAACTGGATGGACCTTGGTCTTCTTTCGTATAGCAAATTCTTACGTCCATATGTACAGTTTGCCCCTGTTTACTTAGCAGTAAGTAGGAAACCCGGTTGTTAGTCGATTGGTGGATCACTTTTCCGGGGATAATAATCCCTTCATAATAATACTTCAATCCATGACTGTTTGTGGGACACTGCTGTGTACCTTATTTCGCCCACAAAATATACACATCACTTTACAGTATGTTCTGAGAAGCGCTTTGAGACGTCTCGAAGATTTGATAAGCACTATATCACATGCAAAGATTATTATTAATACTGGGATACGCCAACACATCAGACTGGCAGCAGGACTCACCGTAAATGACGAGATGGTATGAGTGGTTTGTCTGTCCCAGTGAGTTTCCCATGACGCAAGTATAAATCCCACAATCCCACTTTTCGGCCTCAGCAATCACCAGCGATCTGTTGTCGTCCATCAGCCGAAGGCGGTCGTCACCAAAAAGCTTCTGCTCTTCTTTCATCCAATAAATATCTGTCGCTTCTCCCATCAGCACCTTACAGCTCAGCTCAACAGTGGTTCCCACGTAACTCGAGTTAACAACAATGAATGGATTTGACAAAGGAACTGCAGTGGTGGGTTTGGATAAGGTTGGGTTGGTGAGCAAGAGATGGGAGATTAGGGGAGATAAGAACAGGAACAAATTACTTGTGCGTCAACAACAATAATTTACATTCGCAAAGCGCCCCTCTCACGGGGCAGCATCTCAGAGTACTTGACAAGGGGGAAGTGACCGTAATCCGGGTCGAAAAGGAAGGTCTTTAGTCGTGATATAAAAGAAGGGAAGGAGAGGGCAAGGTGGAGGGATTGAGGGAGAGTAGTGGCTGAAATTGCAGCCACCGGTGGTGGAGCAGAAGAGACGAGGGTCAAGCAGGAGGCCTGAGCCAGTCGAGCGGAAGCAACTGTAGTGGAGTGGGGAGAAAGCAGGTCAGAAGGTAGAGAGAAATGCAAAATCCTTGCATTTGATACCACGCCTTATTACGTCGTCGAGACGTCTCAAAGCGCTTCACGGAATATACTGTAAAGTAGATTGACTCCGTACTTTGTGGGTGAAACCCAGCAGCCAATTGCACACAGCAGTGTTCTACAAACAGCCATGGAGTGAGTGACCAAATATATTCGGAGTGGGGGGGCATTGTTGGCCAGGAAATCGGGAGAGAGAAAGAGAGGGAGCAACTCCCTTGTCTTTTCGAATAGCGCCACAGGAGCTCTTCAACAACCTGAACAGGCAGACGGGAGCTTGGCTTAGCATTTCATCCAAAGGACAGCCCCCTCCGACAATGCATCACCCCCCCACCCCACCCAGCAGCATTGGAGCGCCAGCTTAGACGCTGAGATTCTAAGTCCTGACATGGGGGCTTGGACCCACAACCTTCTGACTCAGAGGCCAGAGCGCTACCACTGAGCCAGGCAGACAAATACTCACCAAAAACTTCCAGGTGTATAATCTTTTCCATGCTGTTTTCCAGATTAACTTTGATTTGGTACTTCCCACTATCACTGATTTGCAAATGTTTCAGCAGTATCGACCCATTGGACTCGTTAAAGTCAACCCGATTTTTATACAGCTCAGTTTTGGTGAGGGTCTTACTCTTGATGTAGTAATCTAAAATGGGCAAAGAGATGTCCGCTTTGCTGAAATGCCACTGAATGATGTTTTTATCTATCAGATCCTCCTCGGTGAAACCCAGCAGCAAAACAGAGGAATTGAACGCATAAACCAGTCTCATCTCTCTCCCCTCGGCCGCTGTGATTAGGGCTCCATCTGAAAGAAAGAAATTACATTTGAATAGTTAGTGACTTTCCCATCAGGAGGATGTCCCTAGGTCCTGGACAGTCAAGGATTTGGACTCGAGCTGGGTGTTGGGATTAGGAGGGGTGGAGGGCAGGGAAGGTGGGGGGAGGAGGATGGCCGAAGGTGTGGTCGAAAAGGAAGAGATGGACCTTGAAGAAGACAAGGGAGCGAACGAGGTGAAGTGGCTCCGGGATGGAGTTCCAAAGGGTGAGGGCAGACACTACATAAGAACATAAGAAATAGGAGCAGGAGTAGGCCATTCAGCCCCTCGAGTCTGCCCCGCCATTTAATACGATCATGGCTGATCTTCTAACCTAACTCCATTTACTCGCCCTAAACCCAACAATAGATTTCCAGATATTGATCATACTCAGACCTCATTTCTGGGTACGAGAATTGATTACAGGTACAACAAAGGTTTCCACTTGGCTGAAGGAAAGTCCCCATTTATCATTTGCCACGATGATTCATCATGGACAGCGATTGAGACCGTTAGTGAAGCAAAAAGCTGTGGTGCACCGCCAGATCTTGAGAATGGATATTATAAAACAACATCTGTTGTTTTTGGAGGCATAGTTACATATTATTGTAATGAAGGATACAGTTTGGTTGGTGAAGATACCCAAACTTGTGTAGCAGGCGGTTGGGATGGCAGAACCCCAGTCTGTGATCCTGCGACGTGTGATGATCTTTCACCAATTGAAAATGGACAAACTCCACCACCACCTCAAGCTAACTGGGAATATGAAAATGCAGCAACGTTTACATGTAATCCTACATATACATTGATTGGTGAAAAAACAATTTATTGCCGGGCGAATGGTACATGGAGTGATATTCCTCCAAAATGCAAAGTTGTTCAATGTGTTCGTCCCGATCCTCCAATCAAAAATGGAAGAATAATAGCAGGATTTGGACCCACGTACGAGTATCGTCAGACGATTATCTACAAATGCGATGAAGGTTTTGAAATGGTTGGCAAAGATACCATTGAATGTCGAGAAAATAGTACATTTCCGCCAGCACCTCTATGCATTCCAGAAGCAAGAAGTACTCCTCCTGTGACCGTTCCTGGCGGAGCTGAGGCGAAAACGAGTCCTCATCCAACAAGTGAAAGCACATCACACATCGACCGATCCGTTATTTATGGTCACAACCTGCTCCTCGTACTATTGCTTCTACTGCGGAGTCCTGTAGCTCAGCGGTTAGAGCACTCGCTTTGCAAGTGAGAGACCTGAGTTCAATTCCAGGCAGAGGGCCAAACCTCGGGCAAGTTTCCTTACTCCACACAGAGCCTAATAATAATCCCTCCAAAACCAAAAACAATAATAAATTGGTCATTTTCAATCTGCGACTGTTTGTGGGACATTGCTGTGCGCAATTGGCTGCCGCGTTCGCCCTCAAATATACAGTCAATTCACTTTACAGTATATTCTGTGAAGCGCTTTGGGACGTCCTCCCGACGTGAAAAGCGCTATATCAAATGCAAGGATTATTATTATTATTATTATTATTATTACTAGAAAGAATACTATGATAGAGCGTCTATCTGAAACATTTTCCAACTCTATTTTAAATTATTGCAATGCGAGTATGCACTTTTCACCATTGTGATTGTGTCAGCTCGATTACTGCCCTAATGCGATGTTAAAAACAAATGGCGTTGTTTGAAAAGAGATTGGGGTGTGTGGCGGTTGACCCTGTGCTCCAGCTAACAAACCTTAAGATAAAGCTGGACATTCACTTGACTGTCTATGGAACAATGATGTGTTCAGATTAGCTGCTGCATATTCCCCAAAATAGTCACTACACTTTGCCAAAACTTTGTGGAGCACTTTTGAGAGATTTAGTGTTATAAGCGATGTATTCTATTAAATGAAGGATTATCAACAATGTTCAGGTATCATGTGAATGTTAAAGAAAACCTACTTATTTATTGCAATTCCAACAGCAACTTTATTTTGTCTTTTTGTAATTCCCGCAACTGAATTTGATCATTTTTAACAACTGGAAAAGTTAGTGAGATTCCACTAAATTCTAACGAGTACTAAATGCACTCCTACGCATCTGAGTAAACCTCTCGCCGATTTGCAGTTTATAATGTTGTTTAATTTTCAGAATGCCGTGGAACTTGGGCAAGTTTCCTTACTCCACACAGAGCCTAATAATAATCCCTCCAAAACAAAAAACAATAATAAATTGGTCATTTTCAATCTACTACTGTTTGTGGGACATTGCTGTGCGCCATCGGCTGCCGCTTTCGCCCACAAATATACAGTCAATTCACTTTACAGTGTGTTCTGTGAAGCGCTTTGGGACGTCCTCCCGACGTGAAAAGCGCTATATCAAATGCAAGGATTATTATTATTATTAACAGTCCATTTATTGTTTGGCTACAGTTGAGTGCGCTGCACCGAGCAGTGTTATTCTTGACTGATTTCTATTCAATCGTGTAAAAACTATTTTGTCTATTCATATGGGAATTTGATTCATGTTGAGATCCTATGCAGTGATGTTGCGAGGAGGCGGGGGCGGGGGGGCGGGGGGGGGCTCAGCAGGAGGGAATCTTATTTTTCTTTATTGCGTAATTAATTTAATGAGAGTGAAAATCGTTTAATTTTAATGTAACTTCAACCAAAGAGCACATTTATAATGGTTTGTTTTGTGGGAGGTCTGACTACAACTCTAGTCTTTCAACCAAAATCATTGCCAGATTGTTAATATTACACAATCATGGACCCTGTACATTTAATATTTCAATAAGGTCTTAACTTTAAATAGGCTTCCTTAAAAATAAGTATCCACTGAATAAATTACTGGAGTCCTGTCGCTCGTGGAGCCCTGTAGCTCAGTGGTTAGACCACTCGCTTTGCAAGTGAGAGACCTGAGTTCAATTCCAGGCAGAGGGCCAAACCTTGGGCAAGTTTCCTTACTCCACACAGAGCCTAATAATAATCCCTCCAAAACCAAAAACAATAATAAATTGGTCATTTTCAATCTACGACTGTCTGTGGGACATTGCTGTGCGCCATCGGCTGCCGCGTTCGCCCACAAATATACAGTCAATTCACTTTACAGTGTGTTCTGTGAAGCGCTTTGGGACGTCCTCCGACGTGAAAAGCGCCATATCAAATGCAAGGATTATTATTATTTTATTATTATTATCACCATATCCCGTAATCCCTTTAGTTTTAAAAAATCTATCGATCTCAGTCTTGAATATGTTCAATGACTGAACATTCACAGCCTTCTGGGGTAGAGAATTCCATAACTTCACTACCCTCTGAGTGAAGAAATTTTTTCTCAACTTAGTTCTAGTTTTGGTCTGCCAATACCTCTCCCCAAAAGCCGCTGAAACCCTGGTCCGTGCCTTTGTCACCTCTCGGCTGGACTACTCTAACGCCCTCCGCGCCGGTCTCCCATCCACTACCCCATCCATAAAATCCAACTCATTCAAAACTCTGCCGCCCACATTCTCACCCGCACCAAACTCCGCTCCCCGATCCCCCGAGGCCTTGCCAGACTGCACTGGCTGCCTATCCAAGAGAGGATCGATTTCAAGATCCTCACCCTCGTATTCAAGTCCCTGCACTCCTCTGCACCCCCCGACCTCTCTGACCTCCTCTCTTCTCAAAACAGCATCCGTTGCCTTCGTTCCTCTCCGTCTGGCCTCCTCTTTGACCCCCGAGTCCTCCGCTACACCCTCGGTGGCCGTGCCTTCAGCCACTATGCCCCGAGCCTCTGGAACTGCCTTCCTCACTCCCTTCGTCTCGCTCCCTCCCTTCCCATTTTCAGGTCTCTGCTTTTCGACCGTGCCTTTGGTCACCTTCTCCCCCTCCCCCTGACTCGGTCCCAGGATACGAAACTGTAAAGCGCTCTGAGACGCCGGCCGGCCGGTGGAGGGCGGTATATAAATCCAAGTTGTTGCGTTGTTGTTGTAAAAGGCTGACCTTTAATCCTGAGACTATGACTCTTAGTTTTAGGTTCTCCAACCAGGAGAAACAGTCTCACATTGTCTACTCCGTCAAGACCCTTAAGAATCTTACAGGTTTCCATAAGATCACCTCTAATTCTTCTACATTCTAGAGAATATAGGCCCAGTCTATTCAACCTCTCCTCATAAGGTCAACCCCGTCATCCCAGGAACCAACCTTGTGAACCTATGTTACACGGTGAGTATATCCTTTCTTAGATCAGTTTTTAGTCCTATCAATTTCTCTACTACTATTTCTTTACTGATATTAATTTCTTTAAGTTCTTCTCTAACGTCAGTCTTTTGGTTCCCCACTCTTTTTGGTAAGTTTCTAGTATCTTCTAACGTGAAGACAGAAGTAAAATATTTGTTTAATGACTCAACAACAACAAAAACAACAACAACAACAACAACAAAATTACATGTGAACAGCGACTTTCACGTCGGGAGGACGTCCCGAGGCGCTGGACAGACAGAGTTACGGACCCCTCTGGGGGTCAGGGTGGGGGAGGCTGGAGGGCAGGGGGAGAAGCAGGGAGGTCCCAGAGCTAGGGGGGGAGCAAGACCGTGGAGGGCTTTGAAGGTGGGGACCAGGATCTTGAACTGTATCCACTGTGTGATGGGAAGCCGGTGGAGTCGGGCGAGGATGGGGGTGATAGGGTCGCAGAGCCTAGTGCGGGAGAGGACATGCGCTGCTGAGTTTTTTTTTGTGGAGTTTCTTTATTCCCGATTATAATTTCTCCGGTCTCTGTCTGTAAGGGACCCACATTCACTTTTGTTAATCTCTTCCTCTTTATATACTTGTAAAAGCTCTTACAATCTGTCTTTATATCTCTGGCTATTTTCTCTCATATTCCATTTTCTCCCTCTTAATCAGTTTCTTCGCTGATCTCTAAAGCCCTCCCAACCCTCAGGTTTAGAGATCGTTTTGGCAATATTATAAACCTCTTCTTTTAATTTTATACTTTCCTTAACTTCTCCGGTTAGCCATGGTTGAACCATTTTTCCCGTGGAATTTGAATTTCTCAAAGGCTGAAGGCCCGACTGCCTGATGGTGAGGTGGTTAGTTGAGGGAGGGGAACATGAGCCCGTCTAGGAGACAAAATATCAGGCGCGATGTGGAATAAATCCCATTTCTGTATGCTTGTGCGCAAGTCGCTATACAAAATAGCACATCTTAGTAATTTATTTGCTCAGCCAGGAGTCTGACTCATGCGGAGAACGACCACCGTGCTTAGGAGTCTCCAAACCCAACTGAGAATTCCACACATCCCATCTACACATGGAAATTCCTGAGATACATTCTCTCTCTCTCTCTCTCTCTCCCTGGAGGGACACATCCTGCTTACCTGATCCTGGAAAGTGTTAGGCGCAGATTGGTAAGAGCCACGGCCTGGGGAGTGTGCGTTGGAGTAACTGCTGGAGTCTAAACAGCTAAAACCGCATAGTTTGCCATCTGTTAAGAGTTATGAGATATCTCACTGATGGGATCAAACGCAAGCGTTCTCCACGAACTGAATAGGGATTTAAAATATCCACAAATATATCGATAATAATAATAATCCTTGCATGTCATTGAGATGTCTCAAAGCACTTCACAGAGTATTTTGTAAAGTGGTTTGACCGTGTATTTTATGGTCAAAACACAGCAGTGTCCCATAAACAGTCGTGGATTGGGTGACCAAATATATATATATATATATTTTGGAGGGCTTATTACAGTTGGAAAGAGATCTGGCAACTGACTAATAACCAGATTTCTAGGCAAACAGAGCCATGCGGAGTGAAATATCTCATGTAAGGAAACTTGCCCAACAATTCGCCCTACCCGGGAATGGAACCCAGGTCTCTCGCTTGTGACCAAGTGCGCTAACCATTAAGCTATGGGACTCCGAGCTTACCTTGTGAAGAGAAGGAAGCACTTGCAAGAATCACAAGGAGAAAAGTCCCAGGGATAGACATCAGAAAACCCCAATCAGGATGAGCTAATGCAGAGGGAATCTTTGCAGGTGGTAAGTCAGACTGAGTCCCTGGCAATAACTCAGTTCTTTTTTGCTTGAGTTGTTTTTTATACTGTGGGCGGGGAAAGGGGAACTTGTCAGTATGTCTGACGCAACGCTCATTGAATATAAGGAAGCAGTTATTAGTTTAAATACTTCAGGAGTTTCCATGTTCCTCTCGGATCAGGGTGAAACCCTGATTCGTTGAGATTGACAGGAGAATTCTCCTGCCGTCAATAATAATAATCCTTGGACACAGCGCCTTATCACATCTTTGAAACATCTCAAAGAGCTTGACAGAATATACTGTAAAGGGAATTGACTGTATATTTTGTAGGCGAAACACAGCAGCCAATTTTGCACATGAGCTGGAGAGTTCCGGATGATCTGTGTGGAGTAAGGAAACCTGCCCAAGGGTTCTCCCTGCCGGCAATTGAACGCAGGTCTCTCATTTGCGAGGTGAGGTAGGCTATTATCACGGAGCTACAGGACTAAACAGTGTCATTCTTAGGGCACCAAATACATTTACTGGCAGCGGGTGTTTCCCAATCGCTGTGACTCATTTTGTGATGAGAATCACGTCCCCAAAATTAACCTCAATCGTCCTCTATTTAATCGTCACAAGTGAGCAGTCAGGATTCTCACAGTAGAAAGGCCCCCAGTGTCACAATAATAATCCTTGTAACCACTCACCCGTAGCACCTATTCACAAGGTCTCAAGTCCAAAAGTCTCAAAGACTTCACTGGCTTTTTCCTGGGCTGCCACCCTGTGTGAGGAGAGCGATATAAATGTAAATTTTTTGGGGTATTTGTAGAGAGATGTGGCCGGCAATTTACATTTATCAGGCGACTGTCAGCTGGGAGAAACTCTCCTTTATCCAAAAGTGCAGTGGGATCAGGTAGACACAACCTCAGTTTAACATCTCATCCGAAGGACGGCACCTCTGACACCATTGCCAAGCCGTCGCGACGTCTCAAAGCGCTGCACGGAATATATTGTAAAGTGTATTTTTGCAGGCGAAACGCGGGAGCCAACAGCGCACACACAGCAGCGTCCCCACAAACAGACTTGGATTGAGTGACCACGTTTTGTTTCGCCTCAGCTCCGAGCAGTTCCTCAAAAATGGCTCTTTAGCCTTAGTGCTGACTTGCTTTGCTAAGTTTCACCCTCAACCCATTGGAGGGTGATAATAATAATCATCCTTGGATTTGATATAGCGCCTTCTCGCTTTGTAGTGACCATACATAGGATTAGTTACCCCCACACACTCACTGTGAGGAAACACCCTCACCTCCGCTCAGTGTCCCACAAAACAGCCGTGGATCGAGGGATTACATTTTAATTTTTTGAAGGTAATAATACTTCAGAAAAGCAACCTACCAACTGACTAACAACTGGATTCCTAATTACTGCTAGGAAACCGAGGTGTGTATGTGTGTGTGTGTGTGTGTGTGTGGTCATATGTGTGTGTGTGTGTGTGGTGTGCACGCGCGTGTGTGTAGTGTGTGCATGTGTGTTTGTGTGTGGTGCGTGCATGTGTGTGTGTGGTGTATGTGTATGTGTATGTGTGTGTGGGGTGTATGTGCATGTGTGTGTGTGTGTGGTGTGTGTGTGTGTGTGGTGTGTGTGCATGTGTGTGTGTGGTGTGCACGTGTGGTGCGTGGCATGTGTGTATAGTGTGTGTGTGTGTGTGTGCATGTGCGTGCATGTAGCAAGGAAGTTTTTCTGGGGTTTGGCCCTGCTGGGGAACACAGGTCCTCTCATTTGCGAGGCGAGCTCGGTGTGATAAAGCTCAAACAGAATGCGACTGCTCTGTTTCTGCTTGAATTCGACTACTTTATTGCTGCAACAAAAATTGGTGGGAGAAAAATTCAAACTCGCTTCCCAAACACGTCATGATTTTCAAACACTTTTCCTGCTTTGTACAGAGTAATGACCAAACCGAAGCTTACGGGGTCTTTCAGGTCAGGAATACCCCTCAATGCGCTTCACACAGAGAGAGAGAGAGAGAGAGAGAGAGAAAAGGAAGGAAGGAAGGAAGGAAGGGAGAAAGGAAGGAAGATAAAGCAGAGGGATGGAGTGAAGGAAATTTAGAGCAAGTTTGAAGTATAAAAGTGAAATAGCTTGAGATACTGAATGAATGTTAGAAGGTGTCGCTAGGTGGCAGTGCAAACCACCGCAGGAGATTGTCTTCAACGTATAACATTTATTCAGTGTTCCCGTCATTCACTCACATTATTTACAATCAATTGACCAACAGAGGCCGAGGAGTAAGAAAACTTGCCTAAGCTTCACCCCACCCGGGAATCGAACCCAGGCCCTCTTGCTTGCGAGGCGAGGCGAGCGCTACAGGCTCCAAGTAATCATATAATAATAGTAATAATAATAATCCTTGCATTGGACATAGCGCTTTTCACGTCTTCTCGGCGTCTCAAAGCGCTTCACGGAAAAAACTGTAAAGTGAATTGATGTATACTTGTGGGTGAATTGCGCACAGCAGCGTCGCACAAACGGCCGTGGATTGAAGTGACCAAGTTTTTACTGTTGTTTTTTTATTGAGGGATTATTATCAGGCGTGTGGAGTAAGGAAACTTGCCCAAGGTTTCACTCTGCCGGGAATTGAACCCGGATTTCTCACTTGTGAGGCGAGGTATTAATTGCGCACCCCCGTGGCATATTATTAACTATTTGCACTGACGTCAACACAAAATACCAGGGAATGTTTTGCCCAATGAAAAATACATTGACTACAACTATTACACCACAAGCGCCATTTTAGCTGCGATATTTTGTTTTCAGTTGTTAACAACAAATAGCTGCACAAGTAAAAGTCACGGTAAACCAGACTGAAGTTGCCGTTGTTGTTCCCATCAGGAACACTATGAGTCGACACACAGGAGTAATGGACACAAATGAATTTGGAAAGTAACGTGGAACAATGCGATGGAAAACCGCTTCGGCAAAAAACAGCATCAGATCCGCCAATGACATGGCCACCAGATAGCGAGTGTTGCATTCGGAGAGACCGGATCACAATTAAAATAACATCTAACGTGATGGTGGGATAACAATGTAGATTTAATTGGACACGTGACGTGGAAACACGGATGTTGGGATGTTGATGAAATCAAATCGTTTCCTAAAGAGAATTGGATGTCAACATTGAAGAACAGAGATCTCAGAGGTCAATGGAAAAAGCAAGCGATGGGGTTAGAGTGGAGAGGTCCAGTGTGGGTGGGGGCGGGGGGGTGAGCGAGCTCTATGGAGAGGAAAGAGCAGGGCTGTTGGAGCGCTTAACAGTGGGGAAGCCTGACAACAACAACAACAACAAGATTTCATTTATAGAGCGCCTTTCACGTCGGGAGGACGTCCCAAGGCGCTGGACAGTTGGGTTGGGACCCGAGCAGGGGGAAATGGTCAGGGTGAGGGGAGGGGAGGGAAGGGAAGGGAGGGAGTGAGGTAGAGACTCGAGAGGGGAGCTGAAGGCACGGTTGAAGAGAAAGGTCTTGAGACCGGCCTTGAAGGAGGAAAGGGAGGAAGCGGCGAAGGCACTGGGGGATGGAGTTCCAGAGCCTCGGGGCTGAGAGGCTGAAGGCCACCCATGGTAGGGCGGTTGGGGCGGGGGGTGTGCAGCAGACTGGAGCCAGAGGAACGGAGGGTACGGGCAGGTAAGTAGGGGGATAGTAGGTCAGAGAGGTAGGAGGGAGCGGGCCGTGAATGGCCTTGTAGGTGAGGATGAAGTTCACCTGACGACAAGCCTGGGGGCGGGAGGAGGTGACGGGCAAAGAGGAAGGTCTTCAGCTATGATCTAAATGAGAAGAAGGAGGGAGCGAGGTGGGAGAAATGAGGGAGAGAGTTCCAAAGTTTTGAGGTGTAGCGGCTGAAAGTGGGGCCACCAACGGTGGAGCAGAGGGGACGAGGAACAAGCAGGAGACCGGAGGCAGATGAGCGGAGGCAGCAGGTAGTGGAGGTGGTGAGAAAGCAGGTCGGAGAGCTAGGAAGGTGCCAGGGCGTGAAGGAATTTGTAGACGAGTGAGAGGATCTTGAAAGCAAGAGAGCACTGCGTGGATCAAAATAGCTCCTTCTGCTCTCAAAGTTCAATAAGACACCATCCCAGAGCGATTGACAGTGGGAAAGCACGAGCCGGGGTGGGGTGGGGGGGGGGGGAAGAGGGGAGATAACCGTAGGCACGGATAAAGTGGAAGGTCTTCAGGCGCCAAGTGGAGATGGGGAAGGAAGTTGGACAGATAGAGGAGGAGTGTTCTAGAGTTTCGGGGCATGGAGGCTGAAAGCGTGGCCACCGTTGGTGGAGTAAAGGTGTAATCTCAGATACAGTGAAATCCCATGTGCATAAATGGAGCAAATAAAGTCCCCAAACAAATAAGGTCCGTGGCGGAGTCAATGGTGAAAGTGTGCTGATCCTCCCTGACTACCTGACTCTCCGCTTGTGCTTCTCTAGGTTGCACAGGTCCCTGTTTGTGGTCGGGCTGCACAGCGAACGGTTTCTGCCCACCTGGTTTTCATAAATCGCATCTAGAACAGAGCAACAGAGGAAATAAGAATAACAGGAACGATACGAGTGACAGCAATGACAACAACAACAACAACAATAATACTAATCCTTGCATTTGATATAGCGCCTTGTTGTGCCATCAAAACATCTCCAAAGCGCTTCACAGAATATATTGTAAAGTCGATTGACTGTATTTTGTGGGGGGGAAACGTGGCAGCCAATCGTGCACAGCAGCGTCCCACAAACAGTCGTGGACTGAGTGACCAAATTATTATTTGTTTGAAAGGACTATTAGCCATGGAAAACGACTGACAACCAGGTTCCTATGGAGGCTCAGGAAACCAACCCGGGTCCGCTTGCTTGCAAGGCAAGAGCTCTAACCACAATGTTACTGGACTCCAGATGGGGTCGGGTGGAGCGGTGACCAAGTGGTCTTACCATTTACAAGGAGAGACAGGGAGGTAGATGACTATCGTCTTACCCTTGTTATTGTAGCCTTGCTCAACTCGTTTCTTCAACCATTTGCAGGTGAAAAAGATCAGGAGAATGTAGCCCAGATACCCAGGAAATCCAGCATATCCAAAATACTCATAATCCATCTGTGCTGGACTGGTTGTACCTGAATGAGAATGGGAGAAGGAGGGATAACATTGAGGGTTGTCAAACCTTGTGCCTGTAGATTCCACCCGCACTGTTTGCCCTCTGATTCCCTGCACCCATGTGATCATCGTTCATGTAACATCCCGTGCCATGACCCGCTCTGCCTTCCCCCAACACTGCAATATTGCCCGGCTCACTGCCTCTCCCCTCAGGCCGCTGAGACCCTCATCCATGCACACGTCTCAAGATCCTCCTCTTCGACCGCACCTTTGGCCACCCTCCTACCTCTATCCTCCCCGCCCTCCACCCCTCCTGATGCCAACCCCCAGCTTGGGTCCCAATCCCTGACTGTCCATCGCCTTGGGACGACCTCCCGACATGACAGGCGCTGTGTACATGCTCGTGGAGTCCTGTAGCTCAGTGGTTAGGGCAATCGCCTCAATTCCCAGCAGGTCAGGGCGAAACCTTGGGTAAGTTTCCTTACTCCACACGCCTGATAATAATCCCTCAAGAAAAAAAACAATTTAGTCACTCATTCCAAGGCTGTTTGTGACGCTGATGTGTGCAAGTGGCTGCCATGTTTCGCCCACAAATATACAGTCAATTCACTTTTCAATGTATTCTGTGAGGAGATTGAGACGTTTAGAAGACATGAATAGCACTACATCAAATACAAGAGTTATTATTATTATTATTAAATGTAGTGCGTTGGTATTGTTGTGACAACCTTGGTGCAACAACAACAACTTGCATTTATACAGTGCCCCTCACTCAGGGTTGTGTCCTGAAGAGCTTGACATTGGTGCAGCGCAACACTGAGCCGAGAGAGGTGACCATAAACATGGTCGAAGAGGAAGGTCTTCAGGCATGACCTGAAGATGGGGATGGAGGGGACAAGCTGGAGGGATTGGGGGAGAGTGTGGCAGAGTTTTGGGGGTTAGTGGCTGAAAGGTGGAATTCTGTAGCTCAGTGATTAGAGCACTCGCTTTACAAGCAAGAGACCTGGGTTCAATTCCCGGCAGGTCAGGGTGAAACCTTGGGTAAGTTTCCTTACTCCGCACACACACGCCTGGTAATAATCCCTCAAGAAAAAAAACAATAAATTGGTCATTTCAATCCACGACTGTTTGTGGGACGCTGCCGTGCGCAATTGGCCGCCGCGTTTCACCCACAAATAGACAGTCAATTCACTTTACAGTCTATTCTGTGAATCGCTCTGTGACGTCTAGAAGATGTGAAAAGTGCTATATCATATGCCAGGATTATTATTTATTATTATTAAAGCGCGGCCACTAAGGGTGGAACAGAGGGCACAAAACCAGAGCGGAGGCAGCAGGTAGTGAGTTGGTGGGGGGGTGGGGTAAGCCGGTTGGAGAGATAGACGAGTGAGAGGATCTTGAAATCGATCTATTCAGTGATAGGGAATCTGTGGAACCTGACGAGGACTCGGGTGATGGGGCTACGGAGTGTAGTGCGAGAGTAAGTTGGCGGCAGTTTGGGATTAACTGTTAAGTGGACGGTGGAGCTGGGGAGAGGGCATTTGAGTAGTAAGATGGCATCCTGGATTAGATGAAGTGGAAAGAGATGACTCAAATAGGTCAAAGTGTGGGCCAAATTCATCCGAACCTCTCTCATAAGGTCTTCTAAGTATTTTGACACCACTGGAAGGAAAGATATTCCTTGAACCACCGAATGCTTTAGAAATTAGGTGACTTCCTGTCCCTTAAACTGTGTTGTTTCACAGGACTTTGTGTTAGGGGCATATACTGTAAACAGGAAAGCTATACGTAATGCTAAACTCTGAGGTTTGTGTATGACACTGGTGGGAGGATATCAGTAAAGATGTACATTATGCTATCAAGTACCCACCTCAGCCCCAACCTCACCGATAATTAATTTACTCCTTCCAAATGGGTTGAGGGTGAGATTCTGCACAGTGAGTCACTGCTCTGGTTAAAGAGCGTAGGAGAGTGAGTCAACACAAGTCGAGAGACCAAACTCAACGCTCAAAAAGTCTCGAAAAACTGAATGTGGGAAGAATAATAATCCTTGCATTTAATGCAGCGCCTTATTACATCGTGGAGACGTCTCAAAGCGCATCACAGAATATACTGTAAAGTGAATTGTTGGGTACTTTGTGGGCAAAATGCAGCAGCCAATTGCAAACAGCAGCGTCCCACAAACAATGAGCGAATGACTGTTCATTCGGGGGATTGTTGGCCGGGACACCGGGAGCGAGAAACTCCCTTCTCTTTTTGAATAGCGCCGCAGGATCTTCAACATTCACCCAAACAGCCACCGACAGGACCTCGGTTAAACACCTCATCCGAAGGCTTGTGTTTGGAGACGAGAAGCTCAGGGCACCCAAGTCTGTTGAGTTTTTGAAAGGCTAAAGGTGGGAACTATTGTGAGTGCAGAGTATTAGAGATATCAGGATAGGTAAAGATTGAGGTATATAGGGAACAGAGGGATAAATACGGATTGAGACATATTACAATAATCCTTGCATTTGATATAGCGCCTTATCCCGTCATTGAGATATCCCAAAGCACTTCACAGAATGTACTGTGGAGTGCAGTGACTGTGTGTTTTGTGGGCAAAACCTGGCAGCCAACTGAGCACAGCAGTGTCCCACAATCGTGGATTTTTTTTTACCGCCATAAAGCGATCTACCAATCGCCTAACAACCGTGTTCCTACTTACTGCCAGGTAAACAGAGGTGTGAGTGTGTGTGTGCGGAGTAAGGAAACTTGCCTAAGGTTTTGCCCTGCCCAGGAATTGAACCCGGGTCTTCTCACGAGCGAAGTGAGCGGTCTAACTAGTTCACTAAAAGCATGAGTCAAAGCAACCTCGAGCTCAGTCAACCACTCAGATCGCGTTCTCAGACCGGAAAAATGGACAATCTTATTTAATCTTTACATTCTATATGTCAGGAGGACATCTGAAAGCACTTTCACAGGAATTACGTTTAAAGTGCAGTGACTGTGTATTTTGTAGGTAAACCAGCGGCCAATTTGTGCACCATAGTGTCCTACAAATAGGGATGGAGTGAATGACCAATTTTTTAATCTGCAGGATTGTTGGCCAGGACACTGGGAGAAACCTTCTTTAATGTCTCATCCAAAGAACTCATGTCTGACAATGCAGAACTCCTCTCAGCTGAAGTGTAATCGTGATGTAGTACAGGACCAACTTCTCAATGTGTGAATACAACAACAACAAATGACATTTACGACACCTTTCACGTCAAGAGGACGTCCCAAGGCGCTGGCCGGTCAGGGATGTGGACCTGAGCTGGTGGTTGGTGTCAGGAAGGGTGGAGGGGGAGAGGGTAGGGGAAGGAGAGTGAATGAATGCACGGTTGAAGAGGAGGGTCTTGAGACAGGTCTCAAGAAAGGAGGCGAGGAATCCAACTACAAGCAGCAGAGCAAGCAGAGACAAGTGAACTTTTTGAAGGCTATTTTAAGAGAGGAAAGTTAAGAGCATTCGGTTTAGAAAAATAAGAAAGATCTTGAGATTGAAGTGGGTGGATAGGACAGGCAGAAGCAATATAGCAGCCCAGAGAGAAACATGTCACAGAAACCACAATCTTATTCAAGCGAATATAACAAAGCAAAGAGGCAATAAGCATTCTAACCAAACACATTCCTTCCATTGCCCACACAAACCCACCCTCTCATAAACATCACCCACCCACTGAAACCGCTGGGGAAACATCTACATAACAGCGGTGTGGGTGAACCTAACAGGTTTGGAGGGCAGACAAAGATAATTCTTGTCCTATTCCTATATTCCACCCAATACCTTTCAGTCTGTAGTTATTCCTATTATCTCCCCCGGTGAATCCTGCAGCGTAGTGGGTTTTTGAGACTCTCTCATCTCAAACTGCTTCACTGAATGCACTGTAAAGTGGAGCGACTGTGTATTTTGTGGGCGAAACGCCACAAACAGTCATAGATTGAGTGACCACATGTTTTTTTTGAAGGGTTTATTAACCCCAGAAAATCGATCCGCCAATTGACTAACAACTTTGTTCAATTACCGGGCAGGGAGGAATCTGAGGCAAGTTTCCTTACTCCACCCACCTCTGTTTAGCCAGGGGTAAGTAGGAACCCTGTTGCTAGTTGATTGCGGATCACTTTACGGGGGTAATAACCCTTCAAAAGTTAATAATAAATGACTCACTCAATCATAAACAATCTATGACTGTTTGTGGAACACCGCTGTGCGCAATTGGCTGCCGCGCTTCGCCCACCAGACCCACAGTCACTACACTGTACAGGAAATTCAGTGAAGCGCGCTTTGAGAGGCCTCAATGATGGGATAAGGCGCTGTATCAAATGCAAGGATTATTATTATCGCCACTGCTTGCTAAACAAACGCGTGGCGTAAGGAAACTTGCCTAAGGTTTCGTCCCGGCCGGGAGTCGAACCCAGGTCCTCTCGCTTGCGGGTCGAGCACTCTAACCGCTGCGCTATGGACTCCGTACTTACGGCACAGCTGCACAACCAGCTCGGTGTGTTTCCGGCTGATCAGGTTCTCTGCGGCACAGGTATAGGTCCCGACATGTGACTCCTGGATTCCCACCACCGTCAGTGTCCTGTTGTCGTCAGACAGCCTGTAGTCCGTCCCCTGGGACAGAGGCAGGTCACACCTCCACCAGGTGTAGATCACGCGATTGCCTTGTGGTGAAGTGCAGTGTAGTGTCACGTTGTCCCCAACCAGAGGCACCTCCGGGACCATCTCAACTTGTGGAATCGCCACCAGCACTGGGGGTGAGAAAACATCTGTATTACTATTTTAGTACAAATTGATGGTGTCCAATTTTCTTTTCTATACACACACACATAAAACACACGCAACACATACGCGCGCGCACGCCCACACCCGCATACAACAAGCACACACACAGACACACACACGCACACATACACACAGATACTCATGCGCAACACACGCACCCGCACACAGGTACGCGCACAGCACCCAACACAGAAAGGGGTGCGCACATTTCAAACGCACACGCGCACCCGGGCACACGCACAAATACACACACAACACACGCCACACGCGCATGCACTTGGACGCATACACACACACACACACACACATACATACACGCACACCCGGACACACACACATACATACATAGACACGCGTGTGTGCATACACACACACACAGATAGAAATATACAACACACACCCAAGCACACACATACAGACATACACATACCCACACATACACACACAGATTCACAGATATACACACACGCATATGTGCTGTAGAGAGTCAGGAGAAAGAACCCCGGTTGGTTCTTCTCTCTTATTACCAGCAGTAAGTAGAATTCATTTGTGAGACGATTGTGGTCACTCAATCCACGACTGTTTGTGGGACACTACTCTGCACAATTGTCTGCCACGAAATACAGTCACTTCACTTTACAGTATATCCTGTGAAGCGCTTTGAGACGTCTTGAAGACGTGATGAGGCCCTATATCAAATGCAAGGCTTATTATCATTATCATTATCTCCTAACCTCAAAAAGCTCTCATTTGGGTGTAACAAACGGAGCGTATCTCACCCTTAACCAAAGCCCCAGTGAAGTACTGCATTCGGTCAAACTCACCCAACAGCGGAAACGATAAACTTTGAAAACACTGGCAAAGGCGACGGCAATAAGCCCTCCACACAAAAAAAAATGGTCACCCAATCCACGACTGCTCATGGGACACCGCTGTGCACAATTGGCGCAAACTTTGCCCGCAAAATTTGGCTCCGATTCTGCGAAGCGCTTTGCGACGTCTCGACCATGTGAAAAGGCGCGCTATCTCAAATGCAAGGATCATCATTCTGCATCATTATCATCATCATTATTTTATTATGACCGAAATCCACTTACCGTTCACAGTGAGAAGGACCGAGGATTTATACGGCTTCCCGTCGGTTGCCTTTATCTCAAGCTCATAAACCCCTTCGTCTGACCTCTGTAAGTTAGAGAGGGTCAGTTCCGCGCTGGAGTTGCAGAAAGTCACCCTGGATTTAAACGGCTCTACTATAAAGGGGGCCTGGGAGCTGGGAGAATAGGTGAGGATTGTGGTCTTGGTTCTGTTAGGTTTGGAGACGTGCCACTCCACATTGAACACACTGTCTGCCCCATCAATCCTATGCCACAGAGGCAGACGCACTGTTTCATTAACGGTCCCGTGCACCACTTTCGTTCGATCATCGGCTAGAGCTATCCATTCCCCTACAAAAAGAGATGATGCATACAACTGCATTTAGAGTCACGTGGAGTCATTTACAATAATAATAATAATAATCCATGCATTTGCTACAGCGCCTCGTCGAGTCGTTGAGAGCCGTCTCAAAGCGCTTCACAGGATATATTGTAAAGTGGATTGACTGTATAATAATAATCCTTGCATTTGATTATGGCATCCCAACATACCAATACTGTAAGTGAGTTGACTTGTATATTTTAATAATAATAATAATAATAATCCTTGCATTTGATATAGCGCTTTTCACGTCGGGAGGACGTCCCAAAGCGCTTCACAGAACACACTGTAAAGTGAATTGACTGTATATTTGTGGGCGAACGCGGCAGCCAATTGCGCACAGCAATGTCCCACAAACAGTCGGAGATTGAAAATGACCATTTTATTATTGTTTTTGGTTTTGGAGGGATTATTATTAGGCTCTGTGTGGAGTAAGGAAACTTGGCCAAGGTTTCGCCCTCTGCCTGGAATTGAACTCAGGTCTCTCACTTGCAAAGCGAGTGCTCTAACCACTGAGCTACAGGACTCCAACAGGACTTTTGCGGGTGAAACGCAACAGCCAATTGCCCACCGCGGTGCGTCCACAAACAGTCGTGGATTGAATGACTCGATTTTTATTTTTGGAGGGGTTATTACCCACGGAAAAGCGATCCACCAATCGACCAACAACTGCATTTCTACTTACTGCTAGGCAAACACTGACATAATAATAGTAATAATAATAATAATAAAAATCCTTGCATTTGATATAGCGCTTTTCACGTCTTCTCGACGTCTCAAAGCGCTTCACAGAAGAGACTGTAAAGTGAATTGACTATACATTTGTGGGCAAAATGCGGCAGCCAATTGCACACAGCAGAGTCCCACAAACAGCCGTGGATTGAAATGACCAATATATTATTGTTTTTTTTTCTTGAGGGATTATTATTAGGCGAGTGGGGTAAGGAAACTTGCCGAAGGTTTCCCCCTGCTGGAATCAAACCTATAATAATAATAATAATATTATTAATATCCTTGCATTTGATATAGCGCTTTTCACATCGGGAGGACGTCCCAAAGCGCTTCACAGAACATACTATAAAGTGAATTGACTGTATATTTGTGGGCGAACGCGGCAGCCAATTGCGCACAGCAATGTCCCACAAACAGTCGTGGATTGAAAACGACCTATTTCTTATTCTTTTTGTTTTTGGAGGGATTATTATTAGGATTATTATAAGTCTCTCGCTTGCAAAGCGAGCGCTCTAACCACTGAGCTACAGGACTAACGTGGAATAAGGAGACTTTACTAAGATTTCACCCCGCCCTGGAATCGAACCCGGGTCCTCTTGCTTTTGCGAGACGAGCGCTCTAACCACTACAATACAATATGGGCTCCACTGCATTTTACACGGCTGGTGGGTGTGAGGTTGCAGCGAGAAGTTTGCACCAGTTTTGTGACCATCCGGTCAGTATCTGGTGACTCGGCGACCTACAAAGTCACTGCACAACACTTCCACAGCTTAATGCGGTTCCCCTCAGAGACAAGAGAGAAACCACAACAATCAGACTCACTTGAACGGCCCAAACTTTTAAGAAATGCACCAAAAACCCAGCCTGTGTCCCAAACGCTATCTCACAACTTTTTAAGATGGAGTCCCGTAGTGTAGCGGTGTAACGCGCAAACGAGAAGATCTGGGTTCGATTCCTGGGCGGGGCAAAACCTTAGGCGAGTTTCCTTACTCCACACACGGGTCTCTGTTTACCCAACGGTCAATAGGAATCCGGTTGTTAGTCGATTGGCTTTTCCGGGGTAACAATCCCTCCCGAAAATAAACGGCCGCTCAATCCACGATTGTTTGCGAGACACTGCTGCCGCGTTTCTCTGCCAAAATACACAGTCAGTTTACAATATAATCCTTGCATTTGATATGGACCATCTTCCAGCCGTCTCAAAGCTCTTCACGGAATTTACTGTGAAGCGAATTGACTGTATCTTTCGTCAGCGAAGCGCGGCAGCCAATTCCGCACGGCAGTGTTCCGCCAACAGTCATGGATTGCGTGACCAATTTTTAGTTGGGGACAGATTATTACCACTGGGAAGCGATCTGCCGATCGGCTACGCTATTTACTGTCGGAAAACAGGCGTTTGGAGTCAGGAAACTCGCCTAAGGCTTTGCCCCGCCCGGCAATCAAACCCAGGTCCTCTCGCTTGAGAGATGAGTGCTCTATAACCACTGCGCTACAGGGAGAGAGAGCGCGGCAGATTGAAGTGGAGAATGCCGACCGAGTCTGGAGGTGTGACCTTTCAACGCGCTCAGCTCACACCTATCGTGAAGGATGAATTACAAAGGACAAACCAGTCAAAACCACAACATCAAACGGTCGCATCGCTCTAAGATAACAACTTTAACAGCTTGTCGCAAACATCCTGTAATAGCAAAATCGGTATGCTTTTTTTTTTTTGGTCAGCCGGGTATTTGACACATGCCCAAACTCATCGCCGCGTCTAAGATTCCCCAAACCAAGTCGAGAATTCCGTGCGTCCCACCTGCGCCTGCAAACCCCAGGGGTAGATTATCGGAATGGAATGCGCACTCTCTCCCCGGAGGGACGCATCCTGTTTACCTAATTCCGGAGAGTATTAGGCGCAGGTTAACAAGAGCCAAGGCTTGGGAGGAGCCCAGAGTGTTCGTTGGGATAACCGCTGGAGTCTAACCGGCAGAGCCTGCCATTGATAGCACTGTGGTAAGCCTTCACCTGCCGCTTGTGAAACTAGGACCACCGTTAGGGCTTTGGTTGCAGGTCTAGAAACACACATAAGTGAAAGGCATTTAGCTTTCCAATTGCACACAGCAGTGTCCCACAAACAGTCTTGGATTGAAGTGAGCAGATTTTTTTTACCCCCGGAAAGCAATCCACCAATCGACTAACAACCGGATCCCTACTTACTGCTGGATAACCAGAGGCATGTGTGTGGAGTGAGGAAACTTGCCTAAGGTTTCGCCCCGCCATGGAATCGAACCCGGGTCCACTCGTTTGCGAAGTGAGTTGCTCTAACCACTGAACTACAGGACTCCAAAGGTGTGTGTCTCTGCACAGACCCTCACCCTCACACTCCCATCGTTCATACATCTCACCAACCTCAACTTTCCATCAGCTCAGGAAGCAAAGACCACAAGCTGCAGCGTGACCGCACGTCAGAGAACTGACATACACACAAAGGATATATCACCCTCTCGCCACCCCCACACACCCCCACACACACACAGTCATATCACACACACACACAGCCATAACACACACACACACACACGTGTGCACAGCCATATCACACACACAGCCATAATGCACACACACGTGTGCACAGCCATATCACACACACAGCCATATCTCACATACGGCCATATCTCACACACAGCCGTATCACATATACACACACAGCCATATCACACATACAGTCGTATCACTCACACAGCCATATCACACATATACAAACACATTTCACACACAGCCATATGACACACACCGCCATATCACACACATACATCCATATCACACACACAGCCATATCACACACACATCCATATCACACACACAGCCATATCACACACACAGCCATATCACACACACAGCCATATCACATACACAGCCATATCATACACACACACAGACACGCATTACACACACAGCCACATACACACACATGACAAAGACACCCACAGACAACAAGAACAGCAAAATGATATTTATGTAACGCCTTTCACATCGGGGGGACATCCGAAGGCGCTGGACAGTCAGTGTTTCGGACCCGGGCTGGGGGTCCGGTTTGGAAAGGGTGGAGGGCAGGGGGGGGAAAGCAGGGTGATCAAAAGCACGGTCAAAGAAGAGGGTCTTGAGATGGGTCTTGAAGGAGGCAAAGGGGGGGGGGGGGGAGGTGGAGGCATTGCGGGATGGAGCTCCAGAGTGTAGGGGCACAGTGGCAGAAGACCTGCCCGCCAATGGTGGGGTGGGCGAGGCGGGGACATGAAGCAGGCCAGAGCCCGCTGAGAGAGCAGGATGGTAGAGGGTTAGGAGGTCGCAGAGTTAGGGGGAGCAAGACCACGGAGGGCTTTGAAGGTGAGGACCAGGATCTTGAACTGTATTCTCTGTGTAACGGGAAGCCGGTGGAGTTGTGCAAGGATGGGGGTGATAGGGTCACAGAGCCTGGTGCGGGAGAGGAAAACACAAGCTGCAGAGTTCTGGATGATCTTCAGCCTGTGGAGGGAGGAGGTCCTGGCACGGATGTGGGGTAGAAAGGATAGTTGAGGGTGAAACAAGATGCCAAGACTGGCTTAGAAAGGTGGAGTGTGCATCCACGGATGGTGATGCTGTCAGCACCTGAGGTGAGGAGATACGGGCATACAGTACACGCACATAACACACACACCCTCATACATTAGCCACACATAACACGCACACACACACACTGCCATAACACACACACACACACACAGAAAAGACCCACAGACAGAAACATATGCACACACACACATAACATACAAGTGGACACACATAACATATATACACACACACACACAACACACGCTCAAACAAAACACACATAAAAACATATAGAGGAGGACTCACAGATAGAAAGACACACACACACACAGACACACACAGAACAGTTAGATACACAAAGACAGACTCACACACACAGACACACGCACTCACTTACGGACACACACACACATCACATACATGTACAGACACACAGAAACAGAAACAGAAGCACAGGCACAGACATACTGATACACACACACACACACACACACACGCACACACCAATCTTGTGATATTGTGAAGAGCCTTAGTTTGTCTAATCATTGCTCACAGCTCTTTCCTCTATCAATGGGGATCATCCTCATCCCCAGGGCCTGGGCTGATCTCTCAAAAAAACACAAAATAATAATAATAATGTGGTCACCCTGACTGTTTGTGGGGCGCTGCTGTGTGCAATTGGCTGCCAAGTTTCGTCCGCAAAATACAGAGTCACTACACTTTACAGTGTATTCTACTGAGAGATCTCAATGACGTGATAAGGTGCTGTAACAAAGGCAGGGATTATGATGATGCTCAGCATCCTGTTTGCCGTGGCTCCGACTGCCTCACACGCCGCGGACGCGGTGAGTGATTGACAGCCACACAAGGTTTGAGTGGGTGACGTGTAGAGAGGATGATGGTTCCTCTCCGACCTGCTTACTCCCCAACCCACAGCCCTCTGGCTCCGGCCTCCTGTTCGTGCCTCGTCCCCTCCGCTCCCATCGTCGGTGGCCGCGCTTTCAGCCTCTACATCCTGAAGCTTTGGTACTCTCGCCCTCAGCCCCTCCGCCCTGACCCCCCCCACCCTCCCGCCTTTCAAATCCCGTCCAAAGACCTTCCTCCCTCCTTCCCTACCCCCAACACACCCCACCGCCACCCCCCCACCGCCACCCCCGGCTCGGTGTTTTGCTCCACCACCACTCCGGGACACTGCCCTGCGTGAGGGGCGCTGTGTAAGTTGTCGTTGTTGCAAACCGGTCCACGATACGAAGCCCATTTACCTGTCCACAGTTGCAAACTCTGTACCATCACAGTGACCAGCAACAACCGCATGTCATCAGCTCCTGTAACACAGATCATCGGGAGTCAGGAGATACTGTACTGTGGTGTGAACTCAGTCTGCGCTTCAGTGTGCACTGTAAACGTGCGCGCGCGTGTGCGCGCAGCGCGTGTGCGTGCGCGCGCGTGTGGTAGCCACCACGGGATATGTATGAGCGTGTGTGTATGTGTGTGTTTGTGCGCGCGTGTGTGATAGCCACCACAGTGTCTGTATGTGTGTGTGTGTGTGTGCATCTATGTCTGTGTGTGTGTGTGTGTGTGTTTGTGTGTGTGTGTGTATGGGTTTGTGTGGGTTTGTGCATGAGTGTGTGTCTGTGCATGCGTGTGAGTGTGTGTGTGTGTATGTGTTGTGACCCTCACACCCCCCGCCCCCCCCCCACACCCGCATCCTCGCCCGACTGCCCTGGTTTCCCATCACAGTGGACACAGTTCAAGATCCTGGTCCTCCCCTCCAAAGCCCTCCATGGCCTTTCTCCCCCCAACAGCTGCGACCTCCTAACCCCCCACATCCCGTTCACTCCCTCCACTCAGCGGCCCCCCGGCCTCCATCACGTCCCCCACCTCGTCCGCCCCACCGTTGGCAGCTGGGCCTTCTGCCCCCACCCTCTGGAACTCCATCCCGCAGTCCCTCCGTCTCGCCCCCTCCCTCGCCTCCTTCAAGACCCACCTCAAGACCCTCCTCTTCGACCGTGCTTTCGATCTCTCTGATTTCCCCCCCCACCCCCCCCCCCGCCTGTGGCCCTCCACCCTCCCCAATCCCGACCCCCAGCTCGGGTCTCAAACTCGGACTGTCCAGCGCCTCGGGACGTCCTCCCAATGTGAAAGGAGCTGCACACGTGTAATTTTGTTGTTGTTATTGTGTTTGTGTGGATGTCTTTTGAGTCTGTTTGTATGTCTCTGTGAATGTGTGTGCGCACGTACATATCTGTGCGCGTATCTGTATGCGGGTGCATGCGTGTGGATGTATGCGCGTGAATATGTGTGTGTGTGTGTGTCTGTGCGTGAGAGTGTGTGTGTGAGAGTGTGTGTGTGTGATAGCCACCACAGTGTGTGTATGTGTGTGTCTGTGCGTGAGAGTGTGTGTGTGTGAGAGTGTGTGTGTGCGCGTGTGTGATAGCCACCATGGTGTGTGTATCTGTGTGTGAGAGTGTGTGTGTGCAGACGGACACTCACAAAGACACACACTTACAGACAATCACACACACACACATACAGACGTTCACACACACCCACACACACAGACACTCATACACACAGTCACACACATAGACACTCACACCCACACATACTGACACACACAGACGCACACACTCAGATACACACTCACACACACAACCACACACATAGACACTCACGCGAGCATATACACATACACACGCGCGCGCAGACACATACACACACACACACACACGCGCTCGCCCATACAGACATATACGCGCGAACGCACACGCACGGAGACATACAAACAGGCTCAACAGCCACCCACACAAGCACAACAGCAACAAGAAAATTACACGCGTGTAGCTTTCACGCCGGGAGGGCACGGCCTGCGACGGAGTGGGGGTCATTTCAGAATCTGCCGACACCCTACGGCAGGGAGCGAGCAGTTAAACTCATGGATTATGGACCCGGCTCCGCGGGGAGACGGTGGAAGCAGCGAATGTCGCTCGTTTCAAGAACAAATTAGGTGGATTTCTGCTCGAAAATAATCCCTCGGGAGACAGCGTTTGGTACAGGGCTTTGGGACACGACGTGTCAAGCGACTGCCGGTGAACTTGATGGACCCCGGTCTTCTTTCGCCAGCAAATTCTTACGTTCCTCCGCACTGTTTGCCGTGAGCGAGAGAGAACGGCCGCCCCTCCCCACACCCCCCCCCCCCACCCACATCCTCTGGCAATTAACCGCTTGCATTCCTCCAGGCTCTTTCCTCGATCCTCTCCTCTCCAACATTCCTCTTTTTTTTGCGACGTTTCGCCCACAAAGAAACAGGCTTCGCGATAACTTCTGCAAAGCCCTTTGCCACGTCTCGAAGATTGCGATAAGGCGCTTCGTCAAATACAAGGGTTGTTATTATTTCATCTGCAGAGATGGGGGTCTACTTCCACACGTAGGGGATGACACCCAACTCCACCCCTCTGCCTCCATCACGTCCCCCAAGACCAAGGCTCTCCTGACCGGCTCCCATCAACGCCTTCAGTTCGACCAAGCCTTTGCTCACCCTCCTACCCTTGCCCTACGTGCCGTCCAGCCCTCCTGATCCCAAGCCCCAGCTCGGGGTCCAAATCCCCGACTGTCCAGCGCCTTGGGACGCCCTCCCGACGTGAAAAATCAAATGTCATTTGTTGTTGTTGTTGTTGTTGATGACGTTCTCACACGATTCTCCATATTCCAATTGATTCTGAATTTATTCAGCAGCACGGTGAGCGGATAATAATAATAATAATAATCCTTGTATTTGATATCGCACTTTATCCAAGACGTCTCAAAGCGCTTCACAGGATACACTGTAAAGCGAATTTACTGTATATTTTGTGGGCAAAACGCGGCAAGTAATTGTAATGTAATAGTAATTCTTGTGTTTGATATAGCGCCTTATCGCGTCTTCGAGACGTCCCAAAGCACTTCACTTAAGCGAATTGGCTGTGTGTATTGTGGGCGAAACACGGGAGCCAATTCCACACAACAGTGTCCCACAGACATAATTGTGCACAAAGGTGTCCCACAAAAAGTCGTTGATCGAGTGGCCAAATTTTTTTTTGGGGGGGGGGCCGTGATTATTATCCTCGGAAAGCGATCCACCAATCGACTAATAACTAAGCAGTAAAAATATGAAGAGATGACAGTTGGGGAGGGAGAGAGAGAGAGAGAGAGAGAAAATGGGATTAATAAACTTGGTAATTTGATAAAACTGGGAGTGGTGGCACGGACACAGTGGGACGAATGGCCTCCTTCTGTGTCGAAAATGTGGGTTCAACAACATCAGGACTTGGGAATCGCACAGTCTAAGCTGTGCGTAAATTGGCCGCCACGTTTTGCCCACAAAACACCCAGTCACTACACTTTACATCCTCCTGAGGTGAAAAGCGGTAATACCAAGTGTAAGGAATACTGTTATCTATGTTTCTGTCTATTTATCTAACCAATGATTTGGCCGTCAACTTGCTTGTCTCTCTGTCTATCGATATATCTATTCTATCTCACGCGGATAATAACAACAGTAATAATAATCCTTGCATTTTCACGGAATACATTGTAAAGCGTTTCACAGAATTAGTGTAAAGTAAATTGCCGTTGAGGGCAAAACACGGCAGACAATTGCACGCAGCAGCGTCCCACAAACAGTCGTGGATTGAGTCACCAATTCATAATTATTTTATGAGGGGACTGTTGCCCCCGGAAAAGTGATCCGGCAATCGACTAACAACCGGGGTCCTGCTTACTGCCGGGTAAACAGAGGCGTTCGGAGTGAGGCAACTTGCCAAAGGGGAATCGAACCCGGGTCCTCTCGCTTACAAGGCGAGCGCTCTAACCAGTGCGGGACTCCGTGCAACCTACGAAGTCAATGGCTTAGCGCAGGTCATTGGCGCCAGCAACTGAATTATCCTGTTAGACTAACCTTTATACTGCACAACGTGCCCCAGTGCAGTGGCGGAGACGGAGGACTCCGGTGAGCAGCTCGGCTTCGCTCAGGAACTCTCCGCGTGACAATGGGCTTTGTCTGCCCACATCCTCTCCATCGTCTCTGTGCAGCTGCCACTCACCACAACCTATCGCCAGTGACGCTATGGAATAGTGTGTGTCAGTCTGTGTCCCTGAGAGACACCGCACGACAAGCCAAAGAGCAGGGGGTGACGGGCACGTGAGAGAACTGCGGAGAGCATAGCAACAGAATAGACTGTAAAGTGAATGGACTGTATGTTTGTGGGCGAACGCGGCAGCCGAGGCGAGTGCTCTAACCACTGAGCTACGGGACTCTGATCTGCAGCTCAACTCCATCTACTTGCCTTTGCCCCATATCCCTTGATCCCCTGACCCCAATAAACATCTATCCACCTCAATCTGGATGGTGTGAAGGGATCCAGTCATAATCCGCAGCCTTTTGGGGGGGGAGAGAATTCCAGTTTTCCAGTACCCTTTGTTGTGAAAAAGTGCTTTCCTGATTTCACTTTTGTCGAGACGTCTCAAAGCGCTTCATGAAACATACTGTAAAGTGTAGTGACTGTGTATTTTGTGGGCGAAGCAGGGCGGCCAATTGCACACAGCGGTGTCCCACAGATAGTCGAGTGGATTGAGTGACCAAATTATTATTATTTATTTATTGGGGGGGGATTATTACCGCTGGGAAAGCGATCGTCTAACAACCAGACTTACCTCCTACTTACTGCTGCGTACGCAGAGGTGTGTGGAGTAAGGAAACTTGCCTGAGGTTTCGCCCCACCCGGGAATCGAACCCGGGTCCCCTCGCTTGCGAGAGGTGAGTGCGGAAACCACCGAGCAATAGGGCTCCAAGCAAAGACCCTCTGCTATCTTCATTTCAGCTCAATGCACAAGGTGCTTGCGGGACACTGGCTGCCGTGTGTCGCCCGAAAAAAACACACAGTCACTACGCCTTCCAGAATTTCCTGTGAAGCGCTTTGAGGCATCTCAATGACGTGATAATGAGGCGCTATGTCAAATGCAAGGAATATTACTGTTAAGTGTTGCCCTAAGATACCCTTTGAGCATTAACCCACAGGAGATGGCAACAACTCTCCGCACAAACAGTGAATTATCTTATACTCACTTTAATAATACAGTAATAACTTATCTGTTATTCTAATAATGAATCCTTGTTTATGAACCAGCGCTTTCACACCTGAACGTCACCACACGTTACAGGGAATCACTGTCAAGTGTAGTTACTGGCTTGTGTGCGCGTGTGTGTTGTCCGTGTGTATGTACGTCTGCATGTGTTTCTGTGTGTGTATATGCGTGTGTGTAGGTCTCCGTGTGTATCTCTGTGTGGGTGTGGGTCTGTGTGTGCATCTTTGTGTGGGTCTGCGTGTGTGTGGGTCTGCGTGTGTATCTCTGTGTGGGGTCTGCGTGTGTATCTGTGTGTGTGTAGGGTGGGAGGTCTGCGTGTGTATCTGTGTGTGTGTAGGGGGGAGGTCTGCGTGTGTATCTGTGTGTGTGTAGGGGGGAGGTCTGCATGTGTATCTGTGTGTGTGTGTAGGGGGGGAGGTCTGCGTGTGTATCTGTGTGTGTGGGTCTGCGTGTGTATCTGTGTGTGTGTGTGTGTAGGAGGGGAGGTCTGCGTGTGTATCTGTGTGTGTGTGTGTATCTGTGTGTGTGTGGGTCTGCGTGTGTATCTGTGTGTGTGTAGGGGGGAGGTCTGCGTGTGTATCTGTGTGTGTGTAGGAGGGGAGGTCTGCGTGTGTATCTGTGTGTGTGTGGGTCTGTGTGTGTATCTGTGTGTGAGTGTAGGAGCGGAGGTCTGCGTGTGTATCTGTGTGTGTGTGGGTCTGCGTGTGTATCTGTGTGTGTGTAGGGGGGAGGTTTGCGTGTGTATCTGTGTGTGTGTGTGTGTATCTGTGTGTGTGGGTCTGCGTGTGTATCTGTGTGTGTGGGTCTGCGTGTGTATCTGTGTGTGTGTGTGGGTCTGCGTGTGTAGGTGAAAAGGCAGCGTGAGATGTTGATTTAATGATGATGGGCAGGTGGCGTTGGAGAAACACATGTAAGTATGTTGATACACCGCCCCGGGCCGGGCCGGGCCGGGCCGGGCCTGACTTGGCAAACACAGCGCACAGCTCCGGCCAAGAATCTCTCCATTCACAGACAAGACTCGACGGTCTCCCACTGACGACGATCACTCTGCATTCACATCAAAAACAAGTTCCTCAGCAAATGAATGAATAGTTCGGCTCTTTCACACCACCGCAGGGCAGGGAGAGCAACACACGCCACAGCCATTTGCACATCGGTCACGCACATACACACACACACGCACACACGCCACATACATACACACATACACACACATACGCCACATACACACACACCACATACACACACACACCACATACACGCCACATACATACACACATACACACACACACGCCACATACACACACACCACATACACATACACACACCACATACACACACACCACATACACACACAAACACTCATACACACACATACACACACACACCACATACACACACACCACATACACATACACTCATACACACACATACACACACACACAAACACATGTATACGCACACACATACACAGATACACACACATACACACACACACATACACGCACACACACATATACACACACACATACACGCAGACACACACACGCACACACACACACATCCATGCACACACACATGCACCCACACATATACATGCGCACACACACACACATACACACACACATAAACACACGCACACATTCTAACACACACACGTGCGCGCGCACACACCACATACACACACATACATACACACACACACACACACATACACGCAGACACACACACACGCACACACACACATCCACGCACACACACATGCACCCACACATATACACGCGCACACACACACACACATACACACACACATAAACACACACACACATTCTAACACACACACGTGCGCACCCACACACCACATACACACACACCACATACTCACAGGGAGACCCTGATACCTACCATCCACCTGGTGAGCCGAACCCACACTTGTCACATGTTACATACACTTCAGGGGAATTAGGGGGATCTTATTGAAACATATAAGATTCTTAAAGGGCTGATAAAGTAGACACTGAGGGTCTGTTTCCCCTGGAAGGAGAATCTATAACCAGGGGTCACAGTTTTAAAATTAAGGGTCAGCCTTTTAGAACAGAGTTGAGGAAACATTTCTTCACTCAGAGGGCAGTGACTTTATGGAATTCACAAGGCTGAGACTGATAGATTTTTAAAAAATAGAGGGATTGGGGGATATGGAGATACGGCAGGTAATTAGAGTTAGGTCAGAAGATCAGCCATGAGCTTATCGAATGGCGGGGAAGGCTCGAGGGGCCAAATGGCCTTCTCCTGCTCCTAGTTCTTATGTTCTTAAACAACCAACTGGTGTCTACTGGGGGGAGGTAAACGGGGTCCTTGGAGTTGAACTGGCTCCAAGGTGACATTAGAATACATTGGAATATACAGCATAGAAACAGGCCATTCGGCCCAACTGGTCTACACCGGTGTTTATGCTCCACGTGAGCCTCCTCCTGCCCTCCCTCAACGAAGCCTTTAAGCAGAACCTTCTATGTTTAGCAATGTGTGGAATGTGGGAATCGAGTCGGGCCTCTGTGAGGGTCTCTAGTCCGGTTCCTGAATCAGTCGGGTCCACAGTATTCCAGGGCACTCACTGCTGATGACAGCACAGCCCGGCCTGGAAGGACAGACCAGACCCTGCGGGCAGGGAATCCTCCCACTCAACTCCTTGTTAACCCTGAGCCAAAGCTCTAACTAACAGGTGGGGGGGGGGGGGGGGAGGGTGTGTGTGGTCCTGGCCGGACAAGCAGCGGGAAAGCTCTCCTGGGTGAGGAACCGTGCCTAAGGTCTCGCCTAACCCGGGAATTGAACTCGGGTCCTTTCGCTTGCGAGGCGAGTGCACGAAGCACTACGTCTACACGACTCCATTTCAACCGCTCTGTCTTCTCCCTTCACACCAACTGCCTGTCAGACATCCCGTCCTGGATGAGAGGGAACTTTCTAAAAATTGTCACATCGGCTTTGAAATTAAATATCCTCGTTTATAAATAGCTCAGGAACCAGAACACTGAGACCAACAGAGGGCTGACTTCATAACCTCATTCCATTCCCAACCACATCATCAACCGACTCAGCTCCAAGGAAACCCCACTTAACCCCTACCCCCACCCCCACCTTGGTCCCCGCAGACCTTTTCTCTCTCTGGTCTGCCTATTTTATTGAAATCTTCCCCCCCACCAACACCCCCCCACCCCCCACCCCCAACCCATCCCCAATTAACAGCTCTATTCTCCTGCTTTGTTGCAATCCCCCTCTGTGTTTGGCATCATTAACACCTCTTTAACCCATCACCCCCCCCCCCGTCCTCTACCCCATTTCCTCCGTGTCTTCCTTGCCCTGCCTGCCCCCCACTTCTCTGTCAGCCCCTAAAAAGCCTCTCCCTCCCAACACGCCCCAGGTCTGACGAAGGGTCGTGGACCTGAAACGTTGACTCACTTTCCTTTCTCCGTAGATGCGGCCCTGACCTGCTGGGTGTTCCCAGCGACTTCTGCTTTTGGTTTTCATGATAATCCTTGCATTTGATACGGCGCCTTATCACGTCTTCGATACCTCTCAAAGCGCTTCACAGAATATACCGTGCAGTGAATTGACTGTGTACTCTGCGGGCGAAACGCGGCAATCAATTGCCCACAGCGGCGGCCCGCAAACAGTCGTCGATCAAGTGACCAAATTATTCTTTTTTTGGGGGGGTATTATCCCCAGAAAAGCGATCGCCAATCAACTAACAACCGGGTTCCTACTTAGCGCTGGGTAAACAGAGGCGTGTGTGTAAGGAAACTTGTCTAGGTCTAGCGTGTCTCGCTACAAGACTCGGAGCTGCTGAGGGAGGTGTCACAAAAGCATGTTTTTCTCTCTGGAGATGAGACAGTTGAGCTGATATAGAAGTGGTTAAGTTTACGGAACAATTCTATAAGGTTATTGTGTCAGTCTGTCTCAGTGGTAGCACTCTCTCTTTCTTTCCCTCTCACCTCTGAGTCAGGAAGTTGTGGGTTCAAGCCCCCACGTTGATGCTCCAACGCCCACTGTAATGTCAAAGTGTCTTGGCCAACAATCCTTCAAATAAAATTGGTCACTCACTCCAGGCTGTTGGTGAGACACACCGCTGTGCGAAAATTGGCTGCTGGTTTTTTTTGCCCACAAAATGCACAGTCTCTACACTTTACAGTATGTGGAGTCCCGTAGCTCAGTGGTTGCAACACTCGCCTTGGCAGCGAGAGACCTGGGTTCGATTCCCGGCAGGTCAGGGTGAAACCTTGGGCAAGTTTCCTAACTCCACACTCCTAATAATAATCCTTCCAAAAAAAAACCAATAATAAATTGGTCACTTCAACCCACGACTGTTTGTGGGGCAATTGGTGCGCAATTGGCTGCATTTCACCCACAAATATACAGTCAATTAACTTTACAATCTATTCTGTGAAGGGCTTTGAGACGTCTAGAAGACGTGATAAGGCTCTATATCAAATGCAAGGATTATTAACGTTATAACCTGTGAAATACTTTGAGACGCATCAAAATGCAAAGATTCTTATTATTAGCGCTTCGAGACATCCTCCCAATGTGAAGGTACTTTACCAATTGTAAGGATTATTTTTTTAGTTTCATTGAGATCAATTAAAGCTTTTTGACAATGCAATAAGGTGCTATATCAAAGCCAAGGAGTCCTGTAGCTCAGCGGTTACCGCGCTCGCCTCGCAAGCGAAAGGACCCGGGTTCAATTCCCGGGCAGAGCAAAACCTCAGACAGGTTTCCTTACTCCAATCGCCTCTGTTTACCAGCGTTAAGTAAGAACCCAGTCCTTAGTCAGTTGGCGGATCACTTTCCAGGGGTAATGATCCCACCAAAGAAAAATGATCTCGTCACTCGACACACGACTGTCTGTGGGACGCTGCTGTGCGCAATTGGCTGCTGCGTTATGCCCAAGAAATACAGTCAATTCACTTTACAGTATATCCCGTGAATGGCTCTGAGAGGTGATGAGGTGCTGTAGCAAAAGCAAACATTATCCCATCTACGGTGAATGGGTTAACGCTGTTTTCATAACAAGCAATGACAGCTGCCTTTACATCCTGCGGGCAGTGCGATGTGAGATGGATAAAGGGCTGATTGCACAAACAGACATGTTGCAGCAGAGAATAATGTGACATTCGATGGCAGAAGGAATGTATTTTAAAGTTCACTTTCAATGAGCCCGAAATTAACGTAGCCTTAATCCTGTCATGACTTGCTGCTGTGTGAGTGAACCGATTGACCGTTGTGCTGAAGATTAATCACTTTAACCCCTTTTTGAAGGGTCTAAGATAGAGGACACCCCGAAAGCCTCCACCCTTTGCCCCTTCCTTCCCCATCTTCAGGTCACGCCTGAAGACCACTGAGCCAGGCTGAGCCGCACATAGTAAGTTTCCTTACAACACAAACACACACACGCACACGCACAGACACACACAGACACAAGACTCTTTTATTTAGCAGTAAGTAGAAAACTGGTTGTCGGTGGTTTGCTTTTCCAGGTTTAATAATCCCCTTTCAAAAAAACAACTTAAAAAAGATAAAAAATCGGGTCATTCAATCCGCGAGTGTTTGTGGGACGCCGCTGCGTGGGAATTGCCTGCCGTGTTTTGCTCACGAAACGCACAAAATAAAATCCACTTTGCAATATAACGATCATAATATTAATAATCTTTGTATTTGACACAGCTCTTTATTGTGCTGTTGCGCTTCATAGAATATGTTGGATATAAGAATGTAATCATTCACAGAATATATACTGTGTGAAGCGCTTTGAGACATCTCAACGATGAGGAAAGGCGTCATATCAAATGCAAGGATAATTATGATTATGCACTGAGCTATGTAAAGGGGTGGGTTGTAGGGGGGGAGAGAGAGAAGGGGGGAGAGCGGGGGGCGATGGAATGAGGGAGGGAAAGAGGGCGTTTGATTCCCTCTGTGTTTGTGACTCCAAATAGCTGCTATTAATATGATCTGCCCATCACAGGAGGGAGCTGTCTCTAACGGACTATAAATATCCCACAGCCCAGTCCTGGCCACCTCACTCTCTCTCGCAGCAGGTCTCCACGTACACGAAGATCGCTCTCTCAGGACGAGATGTCTATCGAGCCACAATGGTGTTGGAATCCGGTAAAGACGCTTTCTTCCTCGTAGACGGGGTTCGGCAGTTTGGGTCGCGGGGGTGTTACAAACTGCCGTGCGACGTAGAAATTTGGTGGGAGTCCTGTAGCTCAGCGGTTCCAGCACTCGCCTCGCCAGCGAGAGGATCCAGGTTTGATTCCTGGGCGGGGACGATAATTTAGGCAGATTTCCTTACCCCCACACGCCTCTGTTTTCCTAACAGTAAGTAGGAACCCGATTGTTAGCCCATTGGTGGATCACTTTACTGGGGATGATAATCCCTCCCCAAAAAATAATGATTTGGTCACTTAATCTACGACTGTTTGTGGGACGCCGCTGTGCGCAATCGGCCGCCACATTTCGCCCACAGAATATACAGTCAATTGACTTTACAGTATACCCTGTGAAGCGCTCTGAGACGTATCGAAGACGTGACAAGGCGCCGTATCAAATGCGAGGATTGTTAGTATTACTTTGCCTTGAGCTGTCCAGGAAAAAAAATTATGTGGGGTGACTTAACACAGTAAACCTCCCACAAGTCGAATCACTTGGGGAACCATCCATTTAATACGAGCTGTGAGTTATGTCAAACCTGCGATGCAATGTCGGAAAGGAGTCCTGAGGCTCACTCGCCTCGCAAGCGAGAGGACCTGGGTCCAATTCCCGGGCGGGGGCAAAACCTTCGGCAAGTTTCCTCGCTCCACGCACCTCAACTGCAGCGACTGCAACTAGTAGGAACCCGGTGGTTAGTCGGTTGGCGGATCGCTTTCCCTGGGATAACAATCCCTTCGGAAAAATAATTTAAGAAACAATAATAATTGGGCCACTCAATCCACGACTGCCGAGCGCAATTGGCTGCCGCCGATTTCACCCACAAAATACACAGTCGACCGCTTTACAGTGTATTCTGTGAAGCGCTTTGAGACGCATCAACGGTGTGACTGTATCAAGTGCAAGGATTATTATTATAATCAAATAATTGTGCTTTATTGTGATCCAGATTTGTGGGAGCACAGGTGGGGGGGGGGGGGGGGGTGAGGGGGGGAGATTTTATTTCTCCCTCGTGTTGTTGAGTCCTGCCTTCCTCCCTCTTTCAGGAAACTCCTTTTACTAAGCAGTTTCCTGTGGAACTCAAGCAAGATATGATGATCGTGATGTGTGGAAAAGTACCTTCTGACGCCAAGAGGTTAGATATTACCTTCGTTAATTCTCTGCTGTAATCCCAATATATAATATGCTCAGTGGTGAGAGCGCTCGCCTCGCAGGCGAGAGGATTCGGGCCGGGCAAAAAAACTAAGGCAGGTTTCCTTACTCCACGCCGCGCGCCTCTATTTACCCGGCAGTAAGTGGGAGCCGGTCGTTAGTCGATTGGGGATCACTTTCCGGGGGTTATAATCCTTTAACTAAAAATGTGGTCACTCAATCCACGACCGCTTGTGGGACGCTGCTGTGCGCAATTCGCTGCCGTGTTTCGCCCTCAAAATGCACAAAGCGATTCACTTTGCAATATATGAAGCGCTTTGAGACGTCTCAATGACGTGATAAGGGGCGACATCAAATGCGGAGATTATTATTTTTATTATTATTATTTTATCTGGGGATTGTCAGTCAGAAGGGAAAATCTCTTCGCTTTTCAAATAATGCCATGGGATCTTTTTTGTCCACCTGAACAGGCACCCACATACACCCACATACACCCACATACACCCCCACACACACACCCCACACACACACACACCCACACACAGACCCCCCCACACACACACACATACACACACATACACCCCCACACACACACCCTCACACACCCACCCACACACTCACACACACACACACACCCACACACACCCACATACCCACACACACACACCCACAAACACCCACACGCACACACCCACACACACCCCCACACACCCCCACACCCACACACCCTTTATCAAATGCAAAGATTTATGCGTTTGTTTCTCTGTTTGTTTATTGTGTGTTATTACGTATTATTTGTTACGCGTTATTTAATACGTATCGTTGATTACTGTTTGATGGGCTTCCCGCGTTCGACACGGTTCTGGGGGTGAGATATCTTCCTGGGTGTCAATCATACCTGACCTCTCGTTCTCCCCAGTTTTGTCATTAACTTCCAGAAGGGTGAAGGAGCCAACGTGAAGATTCCCTTCCAGCTCGGGGTTTGTTTCCAAGAGAATTCCGAGAAATTCATGTTCAGTTCCAAGGAATCTGCCGACTGGGAGCCGATGCAAGATCGCCCCATCTCCCCGAGCATTAAAGGGACCAACTTCAAGCTCACGTTCCTCGTTTGGAGTAACTGTTTTCAGGTACAGCATCGACAACAATAACAGCAAATGACACTTGCGCAGCGCCTTTCACGTCGGGAGGACGTCCCAAGGCGCCCGACAGGCGAGGGCTCGCACCCGAGCCGGGGGTTGGGATCCAGTGGGTAATAATAATAATAATAATAATAATAATTCTTGCATTTGATATCCCGCTGTGCGCAATTGGCTGCTGTGTTTCGCCCACAAGATCCGTCCCTTTACAGTATGAATGGAATTGGTCGCTCAATCCACACCCGTTTGTGGTGCAATTAATTGGCTGCCGCGTTTTACCTTCCAATACATTCTGTGAAGTGCTTCCAGACGCTAAAGCGCTACGTCAAACGCAGGATTATGAGTATTATTATTATTATTTTGATATAAAAGACCGCCGTGTGTTTGCTGTGACCAGGTGGCCCTCAATGCCAAGCACATTCTGAAATACAACCACAACGAACGAGACTGGAAAGCCGATGGGATAAACGTGTACGGAGACTTACAAGTGAAGGATTTCACTGTCTACGACATCGACTGCAAAAAAAAAGTAAATATCTTGTGTCACATGGAACTCACTGCCTGGTCCCCTCAGGCCCCCCGAGACCCTCGTCCTCTCCTTCATCGCTTCCAGGCTCGACTATGCCAACTCCCTGCACGTCGGCCGTCCCACCTCCTCCCTCCACAAGCCACAGATCGTCTACACTCTGCAGCTCGTGTCCTCCCCCGCACCAGGCTCCGCGACCTCATCACCGCCGTCCTCTCCCGGCTCCGCTGGCTCCCACCTCCTGGAGGATAGAGTTCGAAATCCTCGCCCTCACCTTCAAAGCCCTTCGCGGCCTTGTTCCTTCTTAATTCTGTGACCTGCTGACTCCATCCAAACCCGTCCGCTCCCTCCGCTCAGTGGGCTCCGGCCGGGGGTCCACGTCCCCCGGCTGTTAGTCGATTTAACGTGTAATAATCGCAATAATAATCCTCGCATTGGACGCAGCGCCTCATCACGTCGTTGAGACGTCTCGAAGCTCTTCACCCAATGTACCGTAAAGCAAATTGACTTTATATTTCGAGGGCGAAATACGGCAGCCAATTGCACACAGCAGCGTCCCACAAACAACTCTGGGTTGAGTGACATTTTTATGGAGAAATTGGAAAGCAATCGACCAATTGACTAACAACCAGGTCCCTTACTTAACAGGGGTAATAATCCTAACCCCACCCACAGCAGCCCCATCCCACACACCCCCCCCACACAAAATGTGGTCACTCAACTACTGTTTGTGGGACACTGTTGTGCGCAATTGGTTGCTGCATTTCACCCACAAAATATACAGTCACTACATTTTACAGTATATCCTGCAAAGCGCTTTGAGATGTCTCACCTACCTGATAAGGTGCTGCATCAAAAGCAAAGGCTATTATTATTGCATGTTAAGTTATCTACATGTTAAAGTGAATATTAATTTATGATTTGGGGTTTATTTCAGGTAAACAAGTGAGCAATGGATCAGGTATGAGGCACTGATCATCCACACAAATCTCCCGCGGCTGTTGTGTGTTTCACTCGGCGATTCTCTCCCACCGTTTCCCTCCCGGTCGTAACATTTGGGAGTTGCTTTAACCTCCACCCACTCTCCCCGGACCCGATTGAAACATGACCATTTCTCATTGCTAATAAAAAATAGTCTTGGACTCGCTTTCTTGTGTCGCTGCGTTGTTTTTGAAGGACAGTTTTGTGTTCCTGCTGTTTGCACTGTATTCTCTTGTATTGTGTTCGAGCGTTCGCCTCGCGCACGAGAAGACCTTGGTTCCGTTCCCGGGCAGGGCCAAACCTTAGGAAAGTTTCCTTACCCCACACACACGCCTCCGTTCAACTTAATCCATCCCCCTCCCCAATAAAGCCCTCACTGTCCAAGACCTCATCCTGGATGAGCACAGAAACCTGGCTCCTCCAGTGACCCCATTCCCTGTTGCCGTCTCCCCTTTTTACCTCTCCCATCCCCAACCACTCCCCCCGCCACCAACCACCGTGGCGGCGGGGGGAGTGGGGTGACCCTCACCTCCTAAGCTTCCCTTGGTCTGTCCCCCTATTCCTCTGGGACTATTTTTCTTCCTTTGAGCAGATCCTCCTCTCCCCCCTTCAACCTGTCACCACCATCAGCCATGTTTCACGGTGCGTCAGCGCCACGTAGTCGCCATAAAACGGTACTGCAGCCATTAGAATTATTTTTATGCGCTTGAAACGAGCCGTAAATGTCATTGAAAAATAAAATAACTTCACTCATGTTCAGCCATTAATTATTTACTTACCAGGAAAAAGAAACTGTAAAGAACAAACAGCGCAATTACACCTGAAACAAATGAACTTTCTTTAAACTGTGATACGGCGATCAGCACCAGACGGTGGTGTTGCATCACAAAAATTGCGGCTGAAGTTCAGTGAAATGTTATCGCAAGTAATTATTTTTTTCTGTCTGGACGTGAATGGCCTTTGAACCCATCTTGTCTGTCATTATTGTCAGCCGGGAGTAATAAGTGGCGGTTGCAGTCGCGCCGTTCACGGCGGGAGATAATTATGTGGGGAGGACAAGTTTGCAGGGCTGAGGGAGTGGGATAGATTTGGAAGCTCTTTAAAAAGAACCATCGCAGAACACGATGGGCCGAATGGCCTCCTTCTGCGTTGTATAATTCTCTGATTTTATGTCCCAAAGCACTGGACAGTCGGGGATTTGGACCCGAGCCGGGGCTGGTACATTATTTTGGGAACAGCCGGGCGTCTGACACATGTGGAACCCATCACCGTTGCTTAAGGGTCTCCAAACCAAACTGAGAATTGCAGACCTCCCACCCACACCTGGAAATGCCAGAGAGAGACTATTAGAATGGAATGAATGTGCTCTCTGTTCCTGGAGGGACACATCCTGTTGACCTCATTCCGGAGAGTAATTAGGCAGCGGTTTGCAAGAGTCAAAGGATTGAGAGCCCAGAATGTATGTTGTGGTAACAGCTCAAACCGCACAGTTTGCCATTCATATCGTCCGTTGTCTGGCAACCTTTCCCGCTGTTTGTCCAGCCAGGACCACCCGACCTGTTAGGGCTTTGGCTGCAGGGTTAACAGGAGCTGAGTGTGGGGTCACTCCTTGCCCCCAGTGACCGGTCAGACCTTCCAGCTCCTGCTGATGAGCCGGGCCGGGCTGCGGGGCCATCAGCAGTTGAGGGCCCTGGAATCCTGCGGACTCGACCGGCTCAGAAATACACTGAATTCGCAGAATATACTGTAAAGTGTAGTAACTGCATATTTTGTGGATGAAACATGGCAGCCGATTGTGCGCGTAGTGCACATTTAGTCACTCAATCAGTCGTGGATTGAGTGACTAAATTATTATATTTATTCATTTTGATGGGAATATTACCTCCAAAAAGTGATCCATAATCAACTAACAGAGGCGTGTGTGGGGATTAAGGAAACTTGCCTAACGTTTGTCTCCGACCGGGAATCAAACCCAGGTCCTCTCGCTTGCGAGGTGGGTGCTCTAACCACTGAGCTACAGGAACCCACAGGTCACAACACATATAATAATTAACATTACAATAATAATCATTGCCGCATCTTGTATCAGAGCTGGCGATCAGGGAGGATGGGATCGGGGAGGGGGATGACCGGAGACACAGTCGAAGAGGAGGGTCTTGAGACGGGTCTTGAAGGAGATAAGGGAGGGGGTGAGGGGAAGAGACTGTGGAATGAAGTTCCAGAGGGTGGGGGCAGAGTAGCGGAAGGCTCACCCCCCCCCAATGGTGGGGTAGGTGAAGCGCAGGAAGTGAAGCAGGCCGGAGCCCGCTGAAAAGAGGGAGCGAACAGGATGGTAGGGGATTAGGAAGTCGCAGAGGAAGTGGGGAGCAAAGCCATGGAGGGCTTTAAAAATGAGGACCAGGATCTTGAACTGTATCCTCTGTGTAAGGGGAAGACAGTGGGCTGCGGTGATGGGGGGACGGAGTTTAGTGTGGGTGATAGGGAACCAGTGGAGGCTGGCGAGGGCTGGGGTGATGGGGGTATGGAGTTTTGTGTGGGTGATAGGGAGCCAGTGGAGGCTGGCGAGGGCTGGGGTGATGGGGGGACGGAGTTTAGTGTGGGTGGTAGGGAGCCAGTGGAGGCTGGCGAGGGCTGGGGTGATGGGGGGACGGAGTTTTGTGCGGGTGAGTAGAGTTTGGAATTAGTTGTATTTTGGGGATGGTGGAGCTGGGAGATCAGCGAGGAGGGTATTGGAATAGTCCAGCCGGGATGTGACGAAGGCGTGGACGAGGGTTTCGGTTCTTACACACAGCCCGAGCTGTCTGGCACTGACAAATAACACAGTTGTTCACTATTTGCGGTTAACTGATTAGAAACAATCGAGAAGTACTGAAAAGCAAATATATTCGTAAATCCAACACAAAATACACAGTTTGAAGCACTTTGAGATGTCTCGATGGTGTGACAAGAAGTTATATCAAATGCAAAGATTATTATTGATAATACAGAGGCCTATTGCTGATAATAATGATATTGCAGGATTATTATTAATATTAATACAAATTGGCAAAATATCTTTTGCTTGTAACACTGTGTTTAGCCCCACCAGCTGGGGATGCTGTGCTACCAATAACGAGGCAAAGTTTCTTGTGCGACACTATCAAAGCGTTGCTGCAGGAGTTTAATTTTATTTTTCACAGACAGACTCAAGCGAAGCTGTTTGGGATTAAAAATGCAATGCACGGCTTGAAAGGGCGGTGGAAGCTGATTCAATAATAACTTTCAAAAGGGATTTGGATTTGAACTTGAAAAGGAAACATTTTCAGGGCCATGGGGTAAGAGCAGGGGAGTGGGACTAGTTGCTCTTTCTAAGAGCCCTCACAGGCACGATGGGCCGAATGGCCTCTCTCTCTGCTGTAAGATTTTATGACTCTTTGAAGTATGAAAATGAATACGGTTTGACAGGTTTTTGGGGGATCAGCCGGGCGTCTGACACACGTGGAAACCCATCACCGTGCTTTTGAGTCTCCAAAAGAAGCTGAGAATTCCACATACCCCACCTACACCTGGAAGTCCCAGCGAGGGATTGTTGGCATGGAATCCACACGCTCTCCCTGAGGGTCACATCCTGCTGACCAAATTCCAGAGAGTATTAGGCACAGGTTTGCAAGAGCCAAGGCTTGGGGGAGCCCAGAGTGTGCGTTGGGGTAACTGCTGGAGTCTAACCAGTTAAAACCACACAGTTTGCCACTGATATCACTGTCTCACAAGCTTTCCCACTGCTTTTCCAGCCAGAGCCACCCGACTTGTTAGTTCGGGCTTTGGCTGTAGGGTTAACAGGAGCTGAGGGGGTTCAGGGAAACTCCTTATACAGTAAGTGCAGTGGCTCAGTATTGACAATGTGCAGGAGCCGTGTCGCGGCTGCTCAGTGACGTTGGCCACAGACGGCGTTCCCTGCTCGGGGTACAATGTGGAGCTGACGTCTCCCAGGAAGACCCCGTGCTCTGCCCCGCCCTTCACTTCCCGTCACAAACTCAGCTCCAAACTGGTGTGGGGAAACGCACAGAATCAAACACTCGGCATCGTCCAAACCTCCAGGTTATAACAGTCAAACAGAGGGAATGGCTGAGGGTTTTCCTCCTCATTAACCTGTCACTGGGCAGATTCTCAGAGATTTTCCGTCATCCTTATGCCCGGGATTGAAGAGAGGATAAAGTTTATCAGTGAAAGTTTGGGAGAAAGTGTGGAGATGAGACATGTTGTCAGCGTTGTAAAATGTCACCTGTCCCTCCTCATAGTCCAGGTACACCCCGATCTTCCCGGGTCTCACTGTCAGCTTGAGGCGGGTGGGAGGTGAAGACAGAGCCCGATAGACACCTTCCCACAGCCAAGCACCCCAGACCCCGTCGTCTGGTGACCACGTGATTGGTCGTTTCCTGTTGACAGACTCTCTGCTCACTCCCACAGTCCACTCAGTTTTGTTGCCCACCTGCACCTCCCAGTAATGTCTCCCTGATGTGAAGCCCTCAGATCCCAGGACAATGGGATCTTTACTAAACCTCTTCGGGGAGTCAGGGAGTGGCTGCCATTCGTCTCCACGTATCACACTGGTCAGGTCCTCAGACAGGATGAGCCGGGGATGGGCTGTGTCAGGATCCAGAGTCAGAGAGACCGGAGCTGAGTGAGAGAAATAACACAAAGTGGAGTGAGGGGGAAATCCACAAATTCAGACTTTGTGCAAAAACATCTGGGAACAAAGGCTCACAATGTGTGTAGTTGTGGGAGGTGTGTGGGTGTGTGTGGGGGTGGGGGGTGAGGGTGTGTGTGTGGGAATGTGAGGGTATATGTGTGTGGTGGGGGTGAGGGTGTGTGTGGGGGGGATGTTTGTGGGAGGGGGGCAATGTGAGGGTGTTTTGTGGGGGCAACGTGTATGGGGGGATGTGTGTGTGGGGGATGTAAACCCCCTTGGGTGTGGGGGAATGTGACGGTGTGTGAGAGTGGGGGGCTGAGGACGTGGGGGGGGTGTCAGGATGTTTGTGGGGGTGTTTAGGGTGTGTGGGGGGGCTGTGTTTTTTGGGAGGGGAATGTGTGTATGGGGGGGTGGAATGTGATGGTATGTGTGGATGTGAAGGTGTGTGCGCGTGGGGGAGATGTAAGGGCATGTGTGTGTGTGTGTGTGGTGGGGTGGGTGGGGGGGAGGGCCCATGTGAATGTATTCATTCCACACATCACTGAGCTCCATTCAGACCCTCAGTCCCAGTGTTTAGCAATGAAGGCGACAGGTTTATGTGAATATTATGTTCTCTGGTTACTGAGACTCTTACCTGCACAGTGGGTAAGCTTTCTCCTGTCTGGAAACAAGAAGAAAGGAGAGGTGATCAGGTCAGTGCTCTCGGCCATGTTTGTCCCCAGCCACAGATTTTAATGTGTGAGAGGCTGAATAATAATAATAATAATAATAATAATCCTTGCATTTGATATAGCGCTTTTCACGTCGGGAGGACGTCCCAAAGCGCTTCACAGAACACACTGTAAAGTGAATTGACTGTATATTTGTGGGCGAACGCGGCAGCCAATTGCGCACAGCAATGTCCCACAAACAGTCGTAGATTGAAAATGACCAATTTATTATTGTTTTTGGTTTTGGAGGGATTATTATTAGGCTCTGTGTGGAGTAAGGAAACTTGCCCAAGGTTTGGCCCTCTGCCTGGAATTGAACTCAGGTCTCTCGCTTGCAAAGCGAGTGCTCTAACCACTGAGCTACAGGACTCCACAAATATTAAATAAGGGGATAATTTTCTATACAAATTGTAGAGAAACAACAGGACCATAACACTGGACTGTGATAAAGGTCGTGTGACCCAGGTTTGATTCCAGGGCAAAGCCTTAAGCAAGTTTTCTTTCTCCACATACCTCTGTTTAAATAGCAGTAACTGGATGATTTGTTTGTTGATTTGCGGATCACTTTCGTGGGCAATTATCCCTCAAAAATAAATAATTTGATATTGTAATCCATGACTGTTTGTGGGATGCTGCTGTGCGCAATTGGCTGCCACATTTCACCCACAAAATATAGTCACTCCACTTTACAATATATTCTGTGAAGCGCTTTGAGAAGTCTCAATGACGTGATAAGGCGCTACATCAAATGCAAGGATTATTATTATATTGTGTTTCTGGTCCAACAAGGAGGGAGCAGCCCCAGAACTAACTCTAGGAAATGAAGTCAGGAAAGGAAGTCATGTCAGAAGGGAACATTGGTAAATAACGACCGTCACACAATTAGAATTAATACCATAATCAAACCAGTTGGAAGAGTCTCAGGTAAAGGTTTGGACCGAAAAAGTAATGAGATGTGAGGGACCTGGAGTTCTAAATAGACCTAAATAGATATAACTGTGAAATATGTCAATGAGATTTCAGCACAACAGAAACAGTTGGTTGGTTTTGCTTACCCAGGCTTAGCTGAAGAGCTGTGGAATAGAAAATAAAATTGTTACCACCGAAAAATGGTTAAGACAGTAACAAACCTATTCTGAACATTGTATTATGGTGATGAATAATCTGCATCTTTACAACTTTAACCAGCGTTATAAATTACAGCAAATAAAACTCAACAGTTCACTATAATTCACCCGGGCTCTCGCCTCTGAGTCAGACGCCTGTCAGAGACTTTCTCCACCTCCATAACATACCCACTTCCACCCCGACCTCCCCCTCGGGCCGCTGAGACCCTGATCCATGCATTCATGTTGTCCAGCCTAGATTATACCAACTCTCTACTGCTGCACTATTTTCCCTTCATAAACTGCAGACTATGCAGAACTCTGCAGCTCGTGTCCTTTCCTGCACTGAGCTCTGCTCCCCATCACCCCCATCTTTGCCCGGCTTCACTGGCTCCCCATCCGCCAGCGAATCGAGTTCAAGTTCCTCGACCTCACCTTCAAATCCCTCAATGTTCCACCCGACCTCTGCCACCTCCTCAAGGCTTCAAATACTATCACTGCCTCCACTCCGTGGCCACCAGCCTGCTTCACGTCCCCACCCTCCCCACCCACCATCAGTGGTCAGGCTTTCAGCCGATCTGCCCCCACTCTCTGGAGCCCGGAGTCTCTTCATCTCCTCCCCCTATTCACAATCATTGTTAAACTTCTTTTATATTGATATATACACACACCCTCAACCACCCACCCACCCTCACCCAGCCTCAGCCACCCACCCACCCACCATCACCCAGCCTCAGCCACCCACCCACCCACCATCACCCAGCCTCAGCCACCCACCCACCCACCATCACCCAGCCTCAGCCAACCACCCACCATCACCCAGCCTCAGCCACCCACCCACCCACCATCACCCAGCCTCAGCCACCCACCCACCCACCATCACCCAGCCTCAGCCAACCACCCACCCACCATCACCCAGCATTCAACCACCCACCCACCCACCATCACCCAGCCTCAGCCACCCACCCACCCACCATCACCCAGCCTCAGCCAACCACCCACCCACCATCGCCCAGCCTCAGTCAACCACCCACCCACCATCACCAAGCCTCAGCCAACCACCCACCCTCACCCGCCCGCCCTCAACCAACCACCCACCGACACTCACCCACCCACACCTACTCACCCACCCTCAACCACACTCACTCACCATCCACACTCACCCAATAAAAGGGTTATTCCCACAAACTGACGACGTACAAAAAACACACCCATGTTATTGCCACGAGCTAAACCCCTCTCTCTGTCTCTGTGGATTGTGAACTGGATTAGAATGATCCTGTGTTACTAGATCAACCTCTGACCCACACAATCACATAAAACTTTACCGGTCATTCTATATCAAAGTTTATAAAACTTATACTTTTACATGAAAACAAACTGTGTTCTGTGACTTATGATGAAAGAGATTATTGATGGGAATTTACCATTGATATCTCTGCGCTGTTTTACACTGTAGCCGATAAGAACAATCAGCACCAATATGGCAAGTGCTAAGAACACTGAGGAAATCACCAAACCCACTGGCACTTTGGGAAAGAACTCGTCTGTTGAGAAATGTAAATAGACATTTAAACATCTATTCTGATTTCAAACAGCTACCTATTTACCCACATGTGACTATACTACACACAACACAAGCCTTTCACACTCTATACGTATCTCTGTCCTGCTAATAGCAATGTCACATCTCACTGTTACATGAATATATTCCATTAAAATCACTGATGGGAGAGGAAAACATGGCTTCATCATCTCAGGGTTGGGATAGACATTGTAAACCCTAAAGTTCATTATCTAAATATATGAGTGTTAAACTAAGGGCTACAATTAACCTTATTACTCACCTCAATCGTTCCCAATATCCAATTCTCTTAATTTTACCGATGTAATTGTATAGGATGCTATAAATTTGTAATAAATAAATCTAAATATTAATTTACGTATCAAATGCAAGGATTTTTTATTATAAATGTGTTTTATTGTCAGGTCAAACAATTTGGAGAGCAGGGCAGGCGAGGACAGGAAGCAGGCAGTGTTTGCTGAGGGGAGGCAGTGCCCAGGGAGGTAAGTTTAATAAAATATCTTTAACTCAAAAGTACTCAGCTGCTGGAGAAGGTTAATGCCACGTCAGCTCACTGGACACTTTTAAGAAACAGGTTGGAGCTGGAATGGAAGGTGGTGGGTTTGGTATTTTGAGAAGATGTGATCAAATGGGCTGAAGGGTTTTCTTTATCTGCAATGGGGTCTCCTCGGAGCTGAACTGGCCCCAAGGTGAAATGTTTGGCAACGGAAAGTTGGAATCGAGCCAGGCCTCTGTGACGGTCTCTGGTCCGGTTCCTGAGCCGCAGTATTCCAGGGCACTCACTGCTGATGGCTCCACAGCCCAGCCTGGCTCATCGGCAGGAGCTGGAAGGACCGACCACCCACTGGAGGCAGGGAATCATCCCACTCAGCTCCTGCAGCCAAACCCCTAACTAACAGGTAGGGTGGTCCTAGCTGGAGAAACAGTAGGAAAGCTTGCCTGACTATGATAGCAATGGTAAGCTGTATGGTTTTAGCTGATTAGACTCTAGCAGTTACCCCAACACACACTATGGGGTCCCCAAGCCTTGGCTCTTGCCAACCTGTGCCTAATACTCTCCGGAATTAGGTCAGCAGGATGCATCCCTCCAGGGAGAGAGTGCGCATTCCATTCTAACAGTCTGTCTCTGGGATTTCCATGTGTAGGTGGATGCCTGGAAATTCTCAGTTGGGTTTGGAGACTCTTAAGCATCGAGATAGGTTTCTGAATGTGTCAGAAACACAGCTGACCAAACAAAATCCATCTGAACTGATCTTGTATTCACTTTGTTTCTTACAAAACCAGCAGCACATCTATCAAACTGTCACTAATATCTCAGTCCATGTGGTCACTGACCTGAGATGGAGTTTTCCTTCTTGTTCATTTCTCTCGAGACCTAGTGATGTTATTGACTCATTACTCACTGTATCCAAACAGTGTGAGGTAACAGTAAATAAATAGGCCAGGAGGATGCTGAGTTTTATTACCAAATCACCTCAACTCAACTCCCCAGAAACAATTGTGAAACAGCACAGTTCTCTGGTCAGGTCACACCTGGATATTATACACAGATCTGACCACCTCAAAATAATGACATCAGAAGGTCCTGAGGACAACGCAGAAAACTACAGAGGCTGATCCTCAATATCCTGGTTACATCTGATAGAAATCACTTCATGTGTTACAGAAACCAACACCATTTCTCACACAATATCTCAGTCCATGTGGTCACTGACCTGAGATTTGGAATCTTGTTTCTTGTTCATCTTCTGAATTGCGAATCAGAAACCTGATCTTGTTGGTTGAATGTTTTATTTCTATTTGACTGTTAATGTTGAAGAGATCTTTAGAATTCTTGCTGACTGTCAAGTGACTGAGTTTTGTTAAGTTGTTTCCCTGATCATCAACCCACAGAGCCTCTGGTGCTGGGAACCATCCACTGGATTCACACAGCAGCCTCACACCACCATTGTGTTCATCAACGTGAATCCAAGGCTGACTGCCAAGTCCTGCAAGAGACAGAAGATGTGAATCAGACATAATAATACTTGCATTTGATATAGTGCCTTATATCGTTGAGACGTCTCAAAGCGCTTCATAGAGTATACTTTGTGGGCGAAACACGGCAGACAATTGCGCAAAGCAGTGTCCCACAAACAGTCGTGGATTGAGGGTCAGATCAGTTCAGATGGATTGTTTTTAAAAAAGGGATTATTACACCCAGAAAGCGATCTGCTGATCGACTAACAACCAGGTTCCTATTTAATGGTAGGTAAACAGAGGCATGTGGTGTACGGAAATGTAAGGTTTTGCCCTGTCCAGGAATCAAATTCAGGTCCTCTCGCTTGTGGAGCAAGCACTCTAACCACACACGGAATGAACCATATTTACACACAGGACATTACAGTCCAGTAACTTTACTGAAGCCACATTTGCAACATTCTGACTACATTTATACGGATTCGTTCGTTTTCCTGTGTATGTCACGCATTTTATTTTGAACAGAAATAACATCAACAAATAATGAACACTTGTTGTACCCACAGATTATATAAAATAAATTGTAAACATTACTGACCTATAACGTTCAAGTTTACCTCTGCCTCTTCGTGGAAACTGCCGAGCTGAACATAACACGTGTACTGTCCATTATCTGACCCCCGCACATCTTGCAGTCTGAGAGACACATTGCCGTTCATAATCTCCTCTACAAACAGTCCTGTCCTGTGTCTGTAGGCTGTATCCTGCTCACTTGGCTGCTCATGTCCCTCATTGTATAAGATCACAGGGGAGTCGTATCTCGTCCTGAACCATCTCACCTCCAGACGCTCTAGTGACAGGTGTGTGGAACACTTACAGTCCAGGACAACATCCGAACCAGCAGTGGCTGGGACAGGGTGGTCAGGGCCACTGACTGTGAATCTCTCTGTGAATCTCTCTGGTTAATAACAAACAATGGACACAATTAGGATTTTCAGAATCAAACTGACTCTGACAAACTCTGTCAATAGACAGTCACTCATGTTAGCAGTGTTAGGATACTCAGAGAAACCTCAGCAAATCTCTCAAACTGCCTGGTCAGGTTAGCCCATCAGGTGATGTCTCTCACAGGCTGGAAGGGTTGGAGACATTGGCTGTAAATTCACCTGAAGCCAGTTTGTACATAGCGTCTGTTAGACAGAGAAACAATACATTAGGCAGCTCATCGAGTCTGTGATAATACTGGAAGTCTCATGTGACAATTTTCATATATTGAAAGAGGGAAATCAACAGATTCCAATACAAAATGACATTTGTACAGCGCCTTTCAAGTCGAGAGGACGTCCTTAGGTGATGAATAGAAGAATCCGAGCGTTGGGGGGGGGAGGGGGTGAAGGGTTTGGGATGAGGGAGAGAGGTAGGAGGGCGGCTGAAGGCATGGTCGAAAAAGAGGGTCTTGAGATGTGCCTTGAAGGAGGCAATGGAGGGGGCAAGGTGAAGGGATGGTGGGATGGAGTTCCAAAGGGTGGGGCAGAGGCTGAAAGCTTGGCCGCTGATGGTAGGGCGGGTCGGACGGGAGACATGGAGCAGGCCAGAGCCTGTTGAATGGAGGGAGCGGGCAGTAGGTCAGTAGGTCAGAGAGGTAGGAGGGGGCAAGGTCATGGATGACCTTCAAAGTGAGGACGAGGATTTTGAATTCTATCCTCTGAGGGATGGGGATCCAGTGGAGTCGGGTGAGGGTGGGGAGGCATTCAGAACAGAGGCAGAGGGAAGCTAGGAGGGTGGAGACATCAGAGATGAATGTGGGGGAGGTGTTGGAGGGGTGTTAAATGAGCAGACTTTTTAGGGAAAGATTGGAGGGATGGAGGGAAAACAACCGACAACAACAAATTACATTTGTATAGCACCTTTCAATGTCGGTAGAACCCAGTCGCTGGACAGCCAGAGATTTGGACCCAAGCAAGGTGTGATCAAGAGGGATTGAGGACAGGGAGGGTAAGGTTTGGAAGGTGGCCGAAGACACCAGCAAAGAGGGTCTTGAGACATGCCTTGAAGGAGCGAGCAAGACGAAGGGACTGTAGGATGGAAAGGGTGGGGGCAGAGAGGCTTAAAGCCTGACTGCCAATGGTGGTAGGGCGGGGGGGAAGGTTGTGGAGCAGGCCGGAGCTTGCTAAGCAGAGGGAGTGGACAGGTTGATATGGCGTTAGTAGTCATAGAGGTAGAAGGGAGCAAGGCCGTGGAGGACTTTAAAGGCTAGGATGAGGATTTTGAACTCTATCCTCTGGGGGAAGGGAAACCAGTAGAGCCAACCCGGGCCTGGTGCGAGAGAATACACAAACTGCAGAGTTCTGGTTGATCTGCAGCTTGCGGAGGGATGAGATGGGAAGGCTGACAAGCGGGAAGTTGGCATAGTCAAGCCTAGATATAATAACCGTGTGGATGAGGGTTTCGGTGATCTGAGGGGAGAGGAAGCGGCGAAGCCGGGCGAGTTGCGGAAGTGGGGGAAGGCAGAATGGGTCATGGCACGGATGTGGGGTAGAAAAGACAGTTGAGGGTCAAAAAAGATGCCAAGGTTCCGGACTGGAGGGGTCCAAAGAGGGAGTGGGAGGAGAAGTGTGCGCGAAGTTGATTGGATATACTGTAAAGGGTAGTAACTGGCTTTTTGTGGGGGAATGCATCAGCCAATTTGTCCACAGCAGCATCCCACAAAAAGCCAGTAATAGGACAGTAATCCTGTCATGCGGAAAGTGCTCTCTCTCCCCAAAGTTGTCATCTGATGGCTACGATGGAAACTAACCAACTAACTCACAGACCTGTAGTTATTTGCATTTGTTCCTTCTTCACATCTTGACTAATGGTCTGACATTCAATACTTTCCAATCTCCTGATCACAGAATCCAGTTGATGTCTATTGTACCTGATGTATCTATCACCTCATTTGCCAGTGACCAATGTCATGTCTGAAAACTGAGGGAGAACATTAGCAGCTCTCAGTGTGTGAATCACACTCACTCACAGCCACTGCCTTCAGCAGCTCTCCCTTTACCTTCAGCAATTTAACACCAACAGAAATCAAACAGATTCAATGTGTTTCCTTACCAGTCAGTGAGAGGGGAAGCACAAGCCATAGGACCTGAATACCGTGTTTCCAGCTCATCTTCTCGGGCCTTCACAATGAGATCAGAACTGGTCATAACACAGAAAATCAGGTAATTACACATTTGTGATCAAACATAATTAATAAAAATATGACACCTAACTAATAATTCTCTGGTCTTAGAACATGTACTTTGCTTTTAGAGACAAACAGGAAGAAATTCCCTTCTCTTTTGTAATATTGTTATGGGATCTTTAACTGGGGTGTTCTCATGAGGAACATGACTTTCCTATTTTATTTCCTGTTTTTCCTGGAGCTGAACCTTACATTTGACAACCATCAGGATTACTATTTTTTACATGTCCAGTAAACTCCTGATAACTCGACCCTGGCTTAACTTGTCGCTATCACTCAGGTCATTCACAGCAAACCTGGCAAGAGAACATTTAGCAAACATCAAACTCCACAAAGTGAAACCAGGAAATGGTGTCTCGGTAACACAGGAAACACAGTTTGATGCTTTTTATCACAATATAATTGTACATTTCAGAAATCAATTTCTGGCACTTACCTGTTGACCTTTTCATCGGAAGAGAAGAATCTTCTGTAATAAAAGTAAATTAAATGTGTGTCCGGGTGGCGATGGCCGGTTTGTGGCCCAGGAACAAGTCACGGTCAGACTGAGGGGCGTCGCGCTCACACAACAGGGAGCGCGAGCTCTGGCTACTCTCTGTCTGTCTGTCTCTCTTTCTCTGTCTCTCTGTCTGCCTTTCTTTCTTTCTCTCTCTCTCTCTGTCTTTCTCTTTCTTTCAAACCACTTCAGCTGTAGTTTCCTGGGATTAACATTTATTTATCTGTGTGAGAATGTTATCATTTATCTTCTAATGACAGTGTAATCCTGTTAATGTTCTATTTCCTGTAGCTACAAGCATGTGTCTGTAAATGACTGAATGTCAGGGTGTGTCTGCAAGTTACTGAATGTGAGTGTGTCTGTAAGTTACTGAGTGTAAGTTACTGAATGCAAGTCTCGTTGTCCGTAACCACACCTAAATACCTGAACATCACTTTCTGGTGCATGGATTACTATTAATTTAATCACAATAAACTGTGCTGTAGAATTCGATTCTCTGTATCTGAGTTTACAATGTTGTGTGAGCTCAGATGTCTGTGTTTCATTTCTTTAGGAGGAAAGTTCTCGGAAGAGAAGGTATGAAATATTCTTACAAAACATCCCCGGAATTGAATGCGCAAACCAAACACAATGTGTAGTTTCACTTTATAATGTGAACGTTTCTTATTTCAGGATCAGCGAGGAGGGTTCTGAGCTGTCAGTGTCTGAGGGTGATCTGCCGGTGGGGATATACAAAGGGCCTGTACAGTACGCAGTCTGGAGAGAGATAATACACAGCATCAGCCCAGGTACATGTCTCCCATTCTCAGACTGAAGGTGTGGGAATATCTGACAGTCACCTGGAACCTAAAAAAATTAAAGATTGTTGTTGATGAAATGTCACTGCAGGGACACAGCCCAGGGCTCTTTACTCTTGTAGTTACCGTCAGCAGGTGGCGCTGTGCCAGAGTTTTCACCAATAACGACCTCCACACTGTCACCAGCGCTCTCTACTGGCGGCGGTACACCATCAGTGCTGTTTATCCTGTATTCAGCAACTGACCCTCTGATGTGGATCTCTCACCGGCTCACACACTGCCCCCCTAGTGCCCCGCCTTCCCTCCTGCAGCCCTCCTGCTCGGTGACCCCACTCACTCCACTTTGTGTGATTTCTCTCTCTCTCTCTCAGCTCCGGCCGCTCTGACTCTGGATCCTGACACAGCCCATCCCCGGCTAATCCTGTCTGAGGACCTGACCAGTGAGCGACGGACGGAGACAAACAGCAGCTGGTCCCCGACTCCCGGAAGAGGTGTAGTTACTGGCCCTTTGTCCTGGGATCTGAGGGCTTCACATCAGGGAGACATTACTGGGAGGTGCAGGTGGGCAACAAGACTGCGTGGATTGTGGAAGTGGCCAGAGAGTCCATCAACAGGAACAGCAACATCACATGGACACCAGAGGGTGAGGTCTGGGCTGTGGGATGGAGCCTATGAGGCTATGACGTCATCTTTCACCCGCCTGCGCCTGACAGTGAGACCCGGGAAGATCGGGGTTTTCCTGGATTATGAGGAGGGACAGGTGATAATTTACAACGCTGATAACATGTCTCATCTCCACACTTTCACTCAAACTTTCCATGAGAAAGTTTATCCTCTCTTCAGTCCCTTGTTTGATTCTGAGAATCTGCCCAGTGACAGGTTAATCAGGAGAAAATTTCACTTATAACCATGAGGTATGGTTATCACCCTGACACACACACCCCTGACACACACACCTCTGACACACACACCCCTGACACACACACCCCTAACCCTCACCCCCTGACACACACACCCCTAACCCTCACCCCTGACACACACCCCTAACCCTCACCCCCTGACACACACACCCGACACACACACCCCTGACACACACACCCCTAACCCTCACCCCTGACACACACACACACCCCTGACCCTCACCCCCTGACACACACACACACACCCCTGACCCTCACCCCCCGACACACACACCCCTAACCCTCACCCCTGACACACACCCCTAACCCTCACCCCCTGACACACACCCCTGACCCTCACCCCCTGACACACACACCCCTAACCCTCACCCCCCGACACACATACGCCTGACCCTCACCACCTGACACACCCCTAACTGTCACCCCCTGACCCTCACCCCCTGACACACACACCCCTGACCCTCACCACCTGACACACACACCCCTAACCCTCACCCCCCCAACACACACACCCCTGACCTTCACCCCTGACCCTCACCCCCTGACCCTCACCCCCTGACCCTCACCCCCCGGGGCTCATGGCCACACGGCCTCCGAGTTGGGAATGTCGGTGTTGGTGTAGAAAACCCCTTTGATGTGAAGCTGTTGATAGTCACAGATAATGATAATGTATTTGATGTCATTATATTATACAATAAGTGATTGAATCTTCATTGAAAGGATTTGCCACTGAATATGTAATGTATATAACAGTATATGTGCCATTGCTGTTGACTATATTGACTTTATACCATATTCTCACCAGTTGGGGCGGAGGTGTCAGAGGGACCGTCGCTCGAGCGCTTTTCTGCCCTTCGGCGCTTCTGGAATGTTCCCGCCCTCCCCCGCGCATGCGCACCTTCCCGAGTCAGGTCCCGGGCGGAAAAGCGCGGGAGCGCGGGACCGAGTGACGGTTGGAGACGGGACACAGCGCGCACGCGCGGGAAGGCGGGGCCGCGCGAGACGGAGAGCGGCGGGAACAGTGCGCATGCGCCGACACCACGTGACAGCCCCCGCTGGGCGTCAGGACCCGAGAAGAGCGCGAGAGTCGGTAAGTGAGGAGCGGAGGACCGACCCCGCGCTCCCCCCCCGGACCCCAACACACACACACACACAGTGACCGCACACCGACACCACACACTCCACACACCGGTGGGAGCCGCTGAAGGCGGGAAACGGGGCAGAGAAGAAGCGAAAAGGCTGTGACAGGACAGCGGAGCCGTCACCGCCCCTCACACAGACTGACACACACAGCGGGAACGGGAGGCAGTGGCTCCGGACACGGCTCTGGGCCTGAGAGCCGCGGTCTGACCACCTGCCACAGGCGGGAAGTGTGTGAAGGGACACAGTGGCCGCCACACACAGCGGGTCCTGGGAGTCACTGTCTGACCACCTCAGTTTAACAACAAACGCTGAGACTCATCACCTTCTCCCCATCCTCACCCCCACCCCCACCCAGTGCCTCACCCACACCCCACCCAGTGCCTCACCCCCACCCGCCTCACCCCCACCCAGTGCCTCACCCACACCCCCACCCAGTGCCACACCCACACCCAGTGCCTCACCCCCACCCACACCCAGTGCCTCACCCACACCCAGTGCCTCACCCCCACCCAGTGCCTCACCCTCACCCCCACCCACACCCAGTGCCTCACCTTAACCCCCACCCACACCCAGTGCCTCACCTTAACCCCCACCCACACCCAGTGCCTCACCCACACCCCACCCAGTGCCTCACCCCCACCCAGTGCCTCACCCACACCCCCACCCAGTGCCTCACCCCACCCAGTGCCTCACCCCCACCCAGTGCCTCACCCCCACCCAGTGCCTCACCCCCACCCACACCCAGTGCCTCACCCTCACCCACACCCAGTGCCTCACCCTCACCCCCACCCACACCCAGTGCCTCACCCTCACCCCCACCCAGTGCCTCACCCACACCCAGTGCCTCACCCCCACCCAGTGCCTCACCCTCACCCAGTGCCTCACCCTCACCCACAGACAGAGCAACAACAAAAATGTTCAGATATCAGGAGCCTGAATACTCAATCCTGATGTTTATTGTGTGAAATGTTACCAAATATTGATGTTGCTCTGTGCAAATTGGCAGCCACGAATGCACCAGTCACTTTACGGTAAATCTTATGAAGCACTTTGACACTTCCACTCAATATGAAATGCAAGCTTTATTGTATTATTACAGATTATAGAAGATGACACTGAAAATACACATTGTTTATACACAGTGGGACAAGGCTGCACACGAGAGTGCAACATGTCACCTACTTTACAGTGAGATACTGTGAGATTTTAGTGAGATTCTGAGCACAGCCCCAAGTGTGAGACTGGGCATTGCTGGAGAGAAAGGTATCAGCCGATATCCCAGTCTCAGAGCGTGTGAGCTCACACACTGGATGGAAAGTCAGATTCTCTCGGCACAGGGATGAGCTGGTGATGAGGGTCACATGCAGACAGACAAAGGGTTGCATTTTGCTCAACACACTCAGTGTCGGGTTCCTCTGATGCTCTGAATGATCTCAATGTGGATCATTAAGCTGTGGCTTTGCTGGTGGCTGATTGAGCGGCTACAGTGGCTCAGTATTGACACTGGAATGTGCAGGTGTCGCGGCTGCTCAGTGACATTGGCCACAGACGGCGTTCCCTGCTCGGGATTCCCTGACCCCGCTCAGCCCCGCCCTTCACTTCCTGTCACAAACTCAGCTCCAAACTGGTGTGAGGAAACGCACAGAATCAAACACTCGGCATCATCCAAACCTCCAGGTTATAAAAGTCAAACAGAGAGAATGGCTGAGGATTTTCCTCCTCATTAATCTGTCACTGGGCAGATTCTCAGAAGCTCAGAGTTTTCCCCACCATAATTATGCCAGGGATTGAAGAGAGGATAAAGTTTCTCTTTGAAAGTTTGGGTGAAAGTGTGGAGATGAGACATGTTATCAGCGTTGTAAAATATCACCTGTCCCCCCTCGTAGTCCAGGTACACCCCGATCTTCCCGGGTCTCACTGTCAGGTTGAGGCGGGTGAGAGGTGACGTCATAGCCTTATAGTCTCCGTCCCACAGCCACACAGCCCAGAACCCACCTTCTGTTGCCTCTGTGATTGCTTGTTTCCTGTTGATGGACTCTCTGGCTACTCCCACAATCCACGCAGTCTTGTTGCCCACCTGCACCTCCCAGTAATGTCTCCCTGATGTGAAGCCCTCAGATCCCAGGACAATGAGATAGTAACTAAACCTCTTTGGGGTGTCAGTGAGCTGCTGCTGACATTTGTCTCCGCATCGCACACTGGTCAGGTCCTCAGACAGGATGAGTCGGGGATGGGCTGTGTCAGGATCCAGAGTCAGAGAGGCCGGAGCTGAGAGAGAGAGAAATAACACAAAGTGAAGTGAGGGGGAAATCCACAAATTTAGACTTTGTGTACAAAAACTACACCTGGAAACAAAGGTCCAGTGTGTGCGGTGGGGGAGTTGTGTGGGTGGGGAGAGGGTATCAACCAGGGAACAGGCGATCCTGGGTCTTGTTTTATGTAATGAAATAGGGTTAATCAGCAATCTGGAAGTTAAGGCTCCTCCTCGAGGGCAGAGTGACCATAACATGATGGAATTTAGCATTAAGTTAGAGAGTGCTGTTAAGTCCGAAGCAAGGGTCTTAAATTTAAATAGAGCCAACTTTGCAGCTATTAGATTAAAGGATATGACAGTAGACCAGTAATGGTAAATCTTTAAAGATACAGTACATATTTCCCAGCGATCACATATTCCCTTGAGGAAAAAAGTACCACAGGAAAAATGGTTCAACCATGGCTAACTAGAGCAGAATAAAATTAAGAGAGCAGTAAACCTGAAGATTGGGAGGGCTTCAATGACCAACAAAGAAAGACTAAGAAACTGATTAGGAAGGAGAAAATGGATTTTGAGGGCAAACTCGCGAGGAATATAAAGACACACTGCAAGAGAGGATAAAGAGGAAGAGACTAACAAAAGTGAATGTTTGTCCAATACAGGCAGAGACAGGAGGAATTATAATGGGGGGAAAAGATATGGCAGAGCCATTAAACAAATACTTTGCTTCTGTCTTCACATTAGAAGACACTGAAAACCTACCAAAAATAGAGGGGAACCAAGAGGCTAATGTTAGTGAGCAACTTAGGGAAATCAACATCAGTAAAGAATTAGTACTATGGAAAGTGTTGGGATTGAAAAATGACAAATCCCCTGGACCTGATGGTCTGCATCTTAGGGGTTTAAAAGAGGTGGCTACTGAGATAGTGGATGCCTTGTTTTTGAACTTCCAGAATTCTCTGGATTCTGGAACGATTCCCATTGGTCGGAAGATCGCAAACGTAACACCACTATTTAAGAAGAGTGGGGGAGAGAAGATGGGGAACTATAGACCAGTCAGTCTGACATCGATGGGAGCAAAAATTCTCGAATCTTCAATTGGGGACTTCGTAGTAGTGTACTTAGAGGACCATAAAATGATTAGGCAGAGTCAAAATGGCTTTACAAAAGGGAAGTCACGCTTAACAAATATTTTAGAGTTTTTTGAGGATGTAACTAGCAGGTTAGATAGGCGGGAACCAGTAGATTATAATATATTTAGATTTTGAGAAGGCATTCAACAAGGTCCCACATAAAAGGCTGCCACACTAGATGATGGCACATGGAATTAAAGGCAATATATTAGCATGGATCAAAGAGTGGCTAACGGGAAGAAAACAGAGTAGGGATAAATGGGTCCTTCTCAGCTTGGCAGGATCATTACTTGGGCCTCAACTATTTACAATCTATATCAATGATCTAGACGAGAACATAGAACTTAAAATATCTAAATGCGTGGATGATACTAAGCTAGGTGGGAGAGTAAACTCTGCGGAAGACACAAAAAGATTGCAAAGGGATTATAGATAGGCTAGGGTGAGTGGGCAAGAAGGTGGCAGATGGAATATAATGTGGGGAGGTATGAAGTTATTCACTTAGGTAGTTAAAAACAGAAAAGCAGATTATTTTCTTGAAGGGGAGGGAGGGATCTGAGGGATTTGAGTGTCCTTGTACACTAGTCACAAAATGTTAGTATGCAGGTACAGCAAGCAACGAGGAAGGCTAATGGCTTGTTGGCGTTTATTGCAAAAGGGTTAGAATACAAGAGTAGAGAAGTCTTGCTGCAACTGCATAAGGCCTTGGTGAGATCTCATCTAGAATATTTTGTGCAGTCTTGGCCTCCTTATTCAAGAAAGGACATAGAGGGGAAAGGACATAGAGGGGGTGCAACGTAGATTCACTAGGTTAGTTCCTGGGATGAGGGGGTTGACCTATGAGGCTAGGTTGAGTAAACTAGGCCTATATTCTCCAGAATATAGAAGATTTAGGTGTGATCTTGTAGAAACTTATAAGATTCTTATGGGGCTTGACAGAGTAAAAGTACATAATAATTCTTCCATTTGATATAGCGCTTTTCACGTCTTCTAAACGTCTCAAAGAACTTCACAGAATATGAATTCACAAAAGTGAATTTACTGTAAATTTGTGGGAGAAACACGGCAGCCAATTGCGCCAATTTGTATCCCACAAATAGTCATGGATTGAAGTGACCAATTTATTATTGTTTTTTTCTTGAGAGATTATTATCAGACGTAATAATTAGCAATTAGTAGACAGTGCGAGACCATTTCCCCTGGTAGGTGAATCTAGAACTAGGGGTCACAGTCTTAAGATTAAGGGTCAGTCTTTTCAAATAGAGGAAACACTACTCAGAGTGTAGTGAATTTCAGTATAAATTCCAGTATTACTGTGCTCATTCTACACGTCACTGACCAGTCGGTAACAGATTGCAGGAGTTCCATTCAGACCCTCAGTCCCAGTGATTAGCAATGAAGGCGACAGGTTTATGTGAATATTATGTTCTCTGGTTACTGAGACTCTTACCTGCACAGTGGGTAAGCTTTCTCCTGTCTGGAAACAAGAAGAAAGAAGAGGTGATCAGGTCAGCGCTACACGGCTCTGTTTAACTTAATTCCACGTTACCCCACCCACAGATTTTAATGTGTCAGAGGCTGAATATTAAATAAGTGAAGATTTTTTTTACACAAATAGGAGCGAGGTGTATGGTGGAGGGACTGTGGGATGGAGTTCCAGAGAATGGGGTCAGAGAGGCAGAAGGCCAGCCAACCAATGGTGGGGTGGGCGAGACGGGGAGCGCAAGGCCATGGAGGGCTTTGAAAGTGCGGAACAGAATCTTGAACTGTATCCTCTGTGTGATGGGAAACCCGTGGAGTCGGGCGAGAATGGAGGTGATAGGGTCACTGAGCCTGATTTGGTAGAGGACACAGGCTGCAGAGTTCTGGATGATCTGCAGCCTATGAAGGGAGGAGTTGGGGAGGTCGACAAGCGGGGAGTTTGCATAGTCGCACACTGATGTTATGAATGCGTGTATGAGACTCTCAGCAGCCTGTGGTGTGAGACAGTTGCGGAGCCGGGCCATGTTGCTGAGGTGGGGGAAGGCAGAGCAGGATATGGCACAGATGTTGGGTAGAAAGGATAGTTGGGCTCAAATAAGATGCCAAGGATCTGGACTGGCTTAGCAAGGTGGAGTGTGTATCCTTGGATGGTGAGGAAATGAAATGAGGAAAGGATGTCATGTCAGAGGAGGGAACACTGGCAAACTACGTCTGTCGCACAATTAAAATTCATACAATAATCAAACGAGTTGGAAGAGTTCAGGACTGAAACAGAAATGAGATGTGAGGGACCTAGAGTTAAAAAAAAAGACAGAAACAGACCGAAGTCAAACAGTGGTTAACTATCAAATACCAGATTGATAGGGGAGAAAAGAAACAATCGTATATGAAATAAAGGGATTCCTGCAAAAGCTTTGGATGAGAAATGACATAATATCTGTCAAAATAACAGATAATATTTTTCCAATGCTAAACACAGGCAGTTTAGAGAATTCGCACAGGTGTCATTCCATCACATTGTTTCGTTGCCTCACTCCATGTCATTGTCTTTAACTCTTTCTTGCCTTTGAGTCTCTCTAACTTTGGCCGTCTTCTAATGTTCACAGTTGATTATAGTTATAATTATAATTACAGTTAATGTATACTTTTCTCTCTGTCTCTCTATGTAGCTTTCTCTGTGTCGCCTCTCTAACTGTTCAGTTAATTAACATTGACCTCTCTCGGTCTTGTCTCTCTGCTGGTTTATGATTGTGTGAAACACATTTCACAGTAAATATAATTATTTGGCGATGTGATGATCTGATAATCTGACAAAACGCTGATTGTTGATTCAGGTAAAAATCGGTTAATCTGGACAGAATGTCTCGCTGGTCACCACTGTGTCCACTCACTCGCCGCAAGAGTCTCCGGGATGGAGATGATTGTGGCTGAATGACAGTGGCCTCCAACCATTCACGAGTGAGGTGAGGCGGAGGAATGGGGAGAGAATGGGAGGAGTCAAATTGGGATTGATTGCTGATGGGAACGTTGATTAACTTTGGACGCCACATAAACCGGACAAAACGTCTAGTCCCGATGGGCCTGGTTTAAGCGGCTCCTCCTGTATGTCAATGAGATTGCTCAACAACAGAAACAGTTGGTTGGTTTTGCTTACCCAGTCTTAGCTGAAGAGCTGTTGAATAAAAACAAATTGTTACCACCGAAAAATGATTGGAGCAGCGACAAACATTCTGAATATTGCATTATGGTGATGAATAATCTGCATCTTTACAACTTTAACCAACGTCAGCAAATACAACTCAACAGTTCACTACAATTCACCCGGGCTCTCACCTCCGAGTCAGAAGGTTGTGGGTTGAAGCCGCTGGTCAGAGACTTTCCCCACCTCCATAACATCACCCACTTCCACCACAACCTCCCACCACAGGCCGTTGAGACCCTAATCCACGCATTCATCACGTCCAGTCCAGATTACACCAACTCTCTGCTGCTGCACTATCTGCCTGTTCCCTTCACTGACTGGAACTCTGCAGCTCATGTCCTTTCCCTTCCTGGAGCCCCTTCCTGGAGCCCCTTCCTTAGCTACCTTCAAAATCCATCTCAAGACCTTCCTCTTTCACCGTATGTTCAGCCTCTAAACTGGGGATGTGTGGGATGCTGTGTTGTGCTCTCCATCAGGTGAGAATTAAACCGAGGCCCCATCTGCCTGTTCAGACAGAGGTTAAAGATGCCATTGAACTAATTGAAAAGATAAGGGAGTTTGGGCCAGTGTCCTGGCCGATAATTCCCCAAATAAAAAAATTGATCAATCATTTTATGGCTGTTTGTGGGATGTTGCTGTACGCAAATTAGCTCCTGCATTTGACTACATCACACTCAGTCACTGCAATTTACAGTGTATCCTGTGAAATGCTTTGCGACGTCTTCCTTTCGTGAAATTGATTATTATTGATAACAATTACTTGTACCTCATTCACAATTAATTTTCATCTTATGTATAGAACATGTTATGTAGAGAAAGATGAAGACAGATATATAGAATATACACATACATATAGATGGGGGGGAAAGGGTTATTACCATAAACTGACAACATACAAAAAACACACCCGTTATTGCCATGAGCTAACCCCTCGCTCTGTCTCTGTGGTTTGTGAACTAGATTAGAATGATCCGTTGTTATTAGATAAACCTCTGACCCACACATTCACGTAAAACTTTACCAGCTATTCTATATCAAAATTGATAAAATATAAAATATTTTTACATGAAAACAAACTGTTCTCTGACTTGTGATGAGAGTCGTTACTGGTGGGAACGTACCTTTAATCGCTCGGTGCTGTTTTACGCCATAATTGACAAGAAAACTCAGCACCAATATGGCAAGTCCTAAGAACACTGAGGAAACCACCAAACCCACTGGCACTTTGGGAAAGAACTCATCTGTCGAGAAATGTAAAGAGACATTTAAACATCTATTCTGATATCAAACTACAAATGCTTATGTGACTGTTTTACACACAACACAAACCTCTCACATGCTACACTTATCTCTGTCCTGCTAATAGCAATGTCACATCTCTCTGTTACATGAATCTATTTCATTGGTTTCATCATCTCGGGTGGTGTGGGGGGGAAATAGACATTATAAATCACCCAAAGTTCATTATCCGAATTTATCACAGTGTTAAACTCACGGCTACAATTAACAACAAAAAATATATATTTGTATAATGCCTTTCACCTCAGGAGAATGTCCAAGGAGCTGGACAGTTAGTGTTTCGGACCCGAACTGGGGGTCAGCATTGGAGTTGGTGGAGGACAGGGGGGAAGCAGAATGTTCGAAAGCACGGTCAAAGAGGAGGGTCTTGAAGGAGGTAAGAAATAGGGCAAGGCGGAGGGACAGAAAGCTCGCCCGCCAGTGGTGGGGCGGGCGATGCGGGGGATGTGAAGCGGAGGGAGCACACAAGTTGGTACGGGGTTAGGAGGTCGCAGAGTTAAGGGGGAGCAAGGCCATGGAGGGCTTTGAAGGTGAGGACCAGGACCTTGAACTGCATCCTTTGTGTGATGAGAAACAAGTGGAGTTGGGCAAGGATGGGGTTGATAGGGTCGTGGTGCGTCAGAAGATGGGTTGCAGAGTACTGGATGATTTGCAGCCTATGGAGGGAGTCACTGGACACATTGACGAAACAGGTTGGTACTGCAATGGAAGGTGGTGGGTTTGGCATTTTGAGAAGATGAGATCAAACAGACAGAATGGTTTTCTTCATCTCAAATAATCTTGTATTCATTTGATGTGTTGCACAACTCAGCGACACATCTATCAGATTCTCACTAATATTTCAGGCTGATGTGGTCACTGACCTGAGATTTGGAGATTTCCTTCTTGCTCATCTCTCAGTAACTTGCTGCGAATCAGACACCTGATCTTGTTGGTAGAATAATTTATTTCTATTTCACTTTGAATATTGAGGAAACCCTCAGAATCCTTTCTAACTGTCAAGTTACTGAGTGTTGTTAAGTTGTTTCCCTGCACATCAACCCACAGAACTTCTGGTGCTGGGAACCATCCATTGGATTCACACAGTAGCCTCACACCACCATTGTGGTGACCATCAACACGAACCAAAGGCTGACTGCCAAGACCTTGAAGGAAGCAGAAAAATGTGAATCAAATATGCAATAAACAAGAATATAAAAAAGTTCTTGTTTGCAATTTGCTACACAAAATAATTTACAATTAATGATATTTACTCATATGTTACACATAATAAAAAGATCTAAACATTACTGACTTGTAATCTGCAATTGTATATCTGCTTCATCATGCAATCCATCGTAGTCAACGTAACATGTAAAGGTTCCATTATCTGATCCCCGCACATCTCGCAGTCTGAGAGACACATTGCCGTTCATAATCTCCTCTATAAACAGTTGTGTCCTGTGTCTGTAGGCTGTATCCTGCTCACTTGGCTGATCATGTCCCTCACTGTATAGATACACAGGGGAGTCGAATCTAGTCCTGAACCATCTCACCTCCAGACGCTCTAGTGACAGATGTGTAGAACACTTACAGTCCAGGACAACATCCGAACCAGCAGTGGCTGGGACAGGGTGGTCAGGGCCACTGACTGTGAATCTCTCTGTGAATGCCTCTGGTTAATAACAAACAATGGACACAATTAGGATTTTCAGAATCAAACTGACTCCGACAAACTCTGTCAATAGACAGTCACTCATGTTAGCAGTGTTAGGATACTCAGAGAAACCTCAGCAAATCTCTCAAACTGCCTGGTCAGGTTAGCCCATCAGGTGATGTCTCTCACAGGTTGGAAGGGTTGGAGACATCGGCTGTAGATTCACCTGAAGCCAAAGTTTGCACATAGCGTCTGTTACAGACAGAGAAGCAACAATACAATAAGCAGCTCATCGAGTCTGTGACAATATTTAAAGTCTTATGTGATAATTTTCATACATTAAAAGAGGGAAATCAACAGAGTCCAATACAGAATTACATTTGTACAGTGCCTTTCACGTCGGGAGGACATCTCAAGGTGCTGGACAGTCAGGGATTTGGACCCGAATGGGCGGGGTGTGTGGAGGTGTAAGGGAGGGTGGAGGGCAGGGTGGTGGGTAGGAGGGTGGGCGAAGGCACAGTCGAAGAGGAGGGTCTTGATACGTGCCTTGAAGAAGGCAAGGGAGGGAACGAGAGGAAGAGACAGAGAAGGATGGAGTTCCAATGGATGGGGGCGCAGAGAGGCAGGTCACAGACGTAGGAGCGGGAAAGGCCAATGTCATGTCTGAAGACTGAGGGAGAACATTAGCAGCTCTCAGTGTGTGAATCACACTCACTCACAGCCACTGCCTTCAGCCGCTCTCCCTTTAGCTTCAGCAATTTAACACCAACAGAAATCAAACAGATTCAATGTGTTTCCTTACCAGTCAGTGAGAGGGGAAGCACAAGCCACAGGACCTGAATACCGTGTTTCCAGCTCATCTTCTCGGGCCTTCACAATGAGATCAGAACTGGTCATAACATAGAAAATTAGGTAATTACACACAGAGATTTGTGATCAAACAGAATTAATAAAAATATGACACATCATTAATTATTCTGATCTTAGAACATGTACTTTGCTTTTACAGACAAGCAGCAAGAAATTCCCTTCTCTTTTGTAATATTGTTATGGGATCTTTAACTGTGACACTGAGGCTCTACCGAGCCCTGCCCTGGGAGAACTCATGAGGTACATAATAATAATAATAATAATCCTTGCATTTGAAAAAGCGCTTTTCACGTCGGGAGGACGTCCCAAAGCGCTTCACAGAACACACTGTAAAGCGAATTGACTGTATATTTGTGGGTGAACGCGGCAGCCAATTGCGCACAGCAATGCCCCGCAAACAGTCGTAGATTGAAAATGACCTATTTATTATTGTTTTTGGTTTTGGAGGGATTATTATTAGGTGTGTGAAGTAAGGAAACTTGCCCCAAGGTTTGGCCCTCTGCCTGGAATTGAACTCAGGCCTCTCGCTTGCAAAGCGAGTGCTCTAACCGCTGGGCTACGGGACTACAGAACATGTCCTTTCTATGTTATTATACAGAGAATGTCCCAGAGACAGAGAGAGAGAGAGGAATCCACAGAGATCTGAAATTGCAGAGACATTAGCTTCACACACAGAACACCTGTCATTAAAACTCTGGTATTAAAAAGTAAAGACCTTACCCCATTCCTCTGCTCAGGCGAACAATATGACCAGAAAGTCTGTCTCTCTTACGTTTCTCTGCAGTCAGGGACAAGAAGTTTCAAGACAACATAAAATGGCGTTGGTGAAACAAGGAAGAATGTTAGTTTCACTTTCGTTTATAAAGTTTTTTTTAAATTACAACAACAACAACAACAAGATTCCATTTATAAAGCGCCTTTCACGTCAGGAGGACGTCCCAAGGCGCTGATTACCAAAATTACCAAATTACCAAAAGCGGAGACCCATACCAGGCTTAATATGTTGTGAACAACTCGTATTTTAGTATTTCATGAAACAATTTGTGTTTAAACCAGTAGTTTAAAGTACAACGTAAAATGGCATTGGTGAAACAAGGAAGAATGTTAGTTTTGACCCCAACTCGGGTCTGAAATGCTGTCACTGTCCAGAGCCTCGAGATGTTCTCCCGACGTGAAAGGCGCTAAACAAATGTAATCTGGTTGTTGTATTTATACAGTGCCCTTCACGTAGGGCAGCATCTCAGGGTGTTTAACAGTGGCTCAGGCTGATGCCAAGCCGGGAAGGTGTGCGCGGGGGAGGGCGCGGGGGGAGGAGGGGGCGAAGAAGAAGGTCTTCATTCAGGATCTGAAAGAGGGGAAGGGTGGGAGCAAGGCAGAGGTAACGGGTGAGAGATTTCCAAAGCTCTGGGGTGCAGTGGCTGAACGTGCGGCCGCCAATGGCGGAGCGGAGTGGTCGAGGTACGAGCAGGAGGCCAGTGCCAGCCCAGCGAGCGGAGGCAGTGGGTAATGTAGTGGAGAGTAAGCAGGTCGGGGAGGTTGGGAGGTGTCAGGGAGTCAAGGGATCTGCGGACGAGTGAGAGGATCGTGATATTGATTTGTTCTGTGAGAGGGAGTTGAAGTTTAGTGTGTGTGAGAATAAATGCGGTGGAGTTTTAGATGAGTTGTAGTCTGTGGATAGTGGAGTGACCAGTGAGGAGGGCATTAGAGTAGTCGAGGACGGAGATAACAGATCCAGGGACACGTACAAAAAATTGAACTCACCACAATTGCTGATGCTAACAGTTATTGGAGGAGATTGTTGGATTAATGGCTGTGTTTCTCTGATGTCTGTCTGTTTAACAACGTTATTATTCTTGCTCAGATTGTTCCTGTTCTCAGGACGGAGCGAATTTGGCCCCAGGGACACAATACCTCATCTGTGGAGTCCTGTAGAGTAGTGGTTAGCAAGCGAGAGAACCTGGGTTTCATTGCAAACTTTAGACAAGTTTCCTTACGCGACATGCCTTTGTTTACCATCAGTAAGCGGGAACTTACTACTTTCCGGGGGTAATGGTCCCTTCAAAAAAAAATGGTCACTCAATCCACATGTGTTTGTGGGACGCTGCTGTGTGCAATTGGCTGTCGCGTTTGGCCTACAAAATATACAGCCAATTCATTTCACCGTATATTCTGTGAAGTGCTTTGAGACGTCTCAAAGACACTATCAGCCGCTACATCAAATGCAAGGTTTAATGTTAACAATCATCATAATAATAATCCTTGAATTTGATACAGCGCATTATCACACCATTGAGACGTCTCGAAGCACTTCACAGCATGTCACCTACTGTATAGATATATTTGAGAGATTTTAGTGAGATTCTGAGCACAGCCCCCGAGTGTGAGACTGGGCATTGCTGGAGAGAAGGGTATCAGCCGATATCCCTGTCTCAGAGCGTGTGAGCTCACACACTGGATGGAAAGTCAGATTCTCTCGGCACAGGGACGAGCTGGTGATGAGGGTTACATGCAGACAGACAGACAAAGAAGGTCACAGTGCAACACCACTGTCTAGCGGCAGTGAAGCGGTACCCCAGGTTTTAGTTATTTATTTGAACCCTGGAACTCACAGGACAACAACAACAACAGAATTACATGTGTAAAGTGACTTTCACGTCGGGAGGACGTCCCGAGGGCCTGGACAGACAGACGGAACCGAGCTGGGGGTAGGGGTGGCGGGGAGGTGAGTGGTAGAGGGGGGAAGCAGGGAGTTCGAATGGGCGGTCGAAGAGGAGATGGGTCTTGAAGGTGGCGAAGGAGGGGTCGAGGCGGAGGGACTGCGGGATGGAGTTCCAGAGGGTGTGGGAGAATGGCGGAAGGCCCGTCCGTCCGCCGGGGCTAGCGAGGTGGGGGACGTGAAGCGGGGCCGGAGCCCGCTGAGCGGAGGGAGCAAACAGGATGGTAGAGGGTTAGGAGGTCGCAGAGGTAGGGGGAGCAAGACCATGGAGGGCTTTGAAGTTGAGGACCAGGATCTTGAACTGTATCCTCTGTGTAATGGGAAGCCAGTGGAGTCGGGCGAGGAGGGGGGTGATGGGGTCGCGGAGCCTGGTACGGGAGAGGACACGGGCTGCAGAGTCCTGGATGATCTGCAGCTTACGGAGGGAGGAGTTGGGGAGGCCGACAAGCAATGAGTTTGCATGTAATGAAAGCAGGATAGACGATGGAGAGACCAGGATAGGATTCCTCTCCTCATTCCCCTCCTCACCTTTCCTCTGCGACAAGAACTGCTGTTTCGCCCACAAAATGTATTAAGAAGCCCTAATATGCATTTAATAGAACAACTTCCATTTATATAGTGCCTTTCTCCTGAATCAGCCGTTCCTTTGGCCCAGCAAATACCAGCTTGTCCCCCCCCACCCACTACCCCACCTGCCCCATCATCGCCATTTTGCCTCTCTGACTGGAGAACCATCACCAGAGTCCCTCCGAATCGCTCCCTTTCAAGACACATCAAGACCTGACTCTTTGACCGCACGTTCTGTAATCTGCCTTCTCGTTTTGAGCAGTGTCACGGCATCTTGAAAGGATTCGTGAAAGGATTAATAAAACACAAACACAATGAAAAAATACAAGAGGTTGATGTAAAACTGTTTATAAAAATGATTTTCACATTGTCGTAGGGTTTAATCCTACAATCCCAGTATTAGGAGTGATCAGTATACAAGAACGGGCGTTTCGCCCTCAAAATGTACAGGCAATTCATTGACATCCTTTACCGAATGCAAGTGGGTTGGGGAGTAAGCAGGTGGGAGAGGTGGGGAGGTGACGGGGATTGGTGGGGTGTGAAGACGAGTGAGAGGATCCTGAAATCGATCCGTTTGGTGATAGGGAGCCAGTGGAGCCTGGCGAGCGCTGGCTTGATGGGGGTACAGAGTTTAGTGCGGGTGAGTATGTGGGCAGCGGAGTTCTGGATTACAATAATACAATTATTAGAGCATTTTATGTTTTAAAATGGACATAGGTAAGAAGAGAGAACTGGATAGGTATCTGGGGGTTTGCAGAGTTATGGGGAGAAAGCTGGTGATTGGGGTTAGTGAAAGTGACTTGCTCTGTCAAAGAGCCGGCACAGCCTCGATGGGCCGAATGGCCTCCTTCTGTGCCATAACA